ATTTGGGAGGGGCATTGATTTTCTGTTGAAGTCCTTCAGGAATCTTCAGCTGCGCAGTAAATTTATTAAGAGTTTCTAAAAATCAAGATGTTCAACTTATAAATATTCTGGAGATAGAATAAGAATATAAAATGGGACCAGGTTGATCTGTATGCAGTAGCATTAACAACTAATTGATCACAACCAATTGTAGATTTTTTATTTTGTTTGTTGTGAAACAGAGTCTGACTCTGTCACCCAGGATGGAGTGCAGTGCATGGCTCACTGCAGTCTTGACCTCCCGGGCTAAAGCAATCATCCCACCTCAGTCTCCCGAGTAGCTGGGACCACAGGCACACACCACCACACTCAGCTGATTTTTGTATTTTTTTATATAGACTGGATCTCGCTATGTTGTCCAGACTGGTCTTAAACTCCTGAGCTCAAGCTATTGTCCCCACCTCAGCCTCCCAAAGTACTGGGATTACAGGTATGAGCTACCATGCCCAGCCCCAGTTACAAATGTTTTTTTTCCTTCCTGCTCCCACTGCTTAACTTGATTAGCCTTTAAAACTGAAATAAAAAATTGTTTTAATAAAATGAAACCAGAGATTTTTGTTTCATTTGAACTGTTTGAGGACTATATTAATCCACTTTCATACTGCTGATAAAGACAGATAAAGGCATACCTGAGAGGACGAAAAAGAGGTTTAATTGGACTTAAAGTTCCACACGGCTGGGAGGCCTTAGAATCATGGTGGGAGGCAAAAGGCGCTTCTTACATGGCAGCAGCAAGAAAAAATGAGGAATAAGCAAAAGCAGAAACCCCTGATAAAACCATCAGATCTCGGGAGACTTATTCATTACCGTGAAAACAGTATGGGGAAAACCGCCCCCAGGATTCAAATTATCTCCCACTGGGTCCCTCTCTCAACTGTAGGAGTACATTTCAAGATGATATTTGGGTGGGGACCCAGAGCCAATTCATATCAAGTGCCCATTTATTTCTTTGGATTATTGAGCCATTTTAACAATTATTGAACTAGTAGTTTTAGTGGCCGGGTGCAGTGGCTCAGGCCTGTATCCCAGCATTTTGGGAGGCCAAGGCGGGTGGATCATGAGATCAGAAGATAGAGACCATTCTGGCTAACATGGTGAAAAAAATTATCTGGGCGTGGTGTTGGGTGCCTGTAGTACCAGCTACTTGGGAGGCTGAGGCAGGAAAATCGCTTGAACCCAGGAGGTGGAGGTTGCAGTGAGCCAAGATTGTGCCACTGTACTCCATCCAGCCTGGGTAACAAAGTGAGATTCCATCTCAAAAAATAAAAAAAATCAAAAAAGAAATCTTAGTTTTAAAATTCTTATGGAAAATAATACATTTATGAGTAATGAAATCTCCCCCACATTGTTGGGTTAAACTCTTTGACAAGAATGAATTATTATGCTTCTGGCTGACTCTTTTACCTTCTCCCTATCTGCTTGCCTTTTTACTGCTCTCCTAGAAACAGGGACCAGAGAGTGAAGAAGGAGCAGCATCTGTTTCCAGAAGCTACAGCTTACCCACCTCATGAGAGCTGGAAGCTTTTTCTATTTTTATTTTTTATCTACACCTTAGTACTATTTGGCTAGGGAAACAAGCCTGTGGCAGTTGTGCCATATTTGTATCTCTTTCCTTTGGGCCAAAATTTTAAATGTACACTTCTTTCTGGCTGTTAGCAATTGTGTGTTAAGAAGTCCAAGACTGCGGGACATGGTGGCTCACGCCTGTAATCCCATCACTTTGGGAGGCCAAGGTTGGTGGTTCACCTGAGATCAGGAGTTTGAGACCAGCCTGGCCAACATGGTGAAACGCCATCTCTACTAAAAATACAAAAATTAGCCCGGCATGGTGGTGGGTGCCTGTGATCCCAGCTATTCAGGAGGCCAAGGCAGGAGAGTGAACCCAAGAGGTGGAAATTGCAGTGAGCCGAGATTGTGCCATTGCACTCCAGCCTGGGCAATAGAGCGAGATTCCATCTCAAAAATATAAAAAAGTCCAAGACTGCCAGGTGCGGTGGCTCACGCCTGTAATCCTAGCACTCTGGGAGGCTGAAGCAGGCGGATCACAAGGTCAGGAGTTTAAGACCAGTCTAGCCAACACGGTGAAACCCCATCTCTATTAAAGATAAAAAAAATTAGCCAGGCATGGTGATGCACACCTATAATCCACCTATTCGGGTGGCTGAAGCAAGAGAATCACTTGAACCCAGGAGGCAGAGGTTGCAGTAAGCCAAGATCGTGCCATTGCACTCCAGCCTGGGCAACAGAGCGAGACTCTGTCTTAAAAAGAAGTCTAAGACCGGGCCAGGCACAGTGGCTCATTCCGACACTTTGGGAGACAGAGGCGGGTGGGTCACCTGATGTCAGGAGTTTGAGACCAGCCTGGACAACATGGCAAACCCCATCTCTACCAAAAATATAAAAATTAGCCTGGCGTGGTGACATATGACTGTAGTCCCAGCTACTTGGGAGGCTGAGGCAGGAGAATCACTTGAACCCAGGAGCGAGAGGTTACAGTAAGCCAAGACTGTGCCACTGCACTTCAGCCTGGGCAACAGTGAGACTGCATCTCAAAAAGAAAAAAAGAAGTCCAAGACTGGAAATAACAAAAAGAGTGTTCCAGCCATATATTTGGGCTTTGAATTTTTTTTCCCATGGTGAGGACACTATACCTTCTGCAAAATATTTATATTTAAGCCCCATGTTCATATTCCAGTTAGTTTTTAAGCCTCTAAAGGTAATTTTATATTGTATTTTTGGTAAGTTATGGCGTATCTGTATTGATTTACTGAACTCACTATGTTATGCCATCAATATCTCTAATACCTGGCTGTCACCAAAAATAATAAGAAGTGGTACTGGGCCAGGCACCCAGTAGTACTGAATTCCTCACCCCACACACAATTCTATTCCTATGCTTAACTCCCACTACTTGATACCTAACTTCTACAGATTCTTAGAAGGACTTAATAAGGGAAAAGGCTATATTTTTACTTCCTTATTTTTGCTTGTTAATATTTCCTTAATTTAAAAAATGATTGCCAGGCATGGTGGCTCATGCCTGTAATCTCAGCACTTTGGAAGGCTGAGGCGGGTGGACAAGGGTGTGAGCCACCATGCCCGGCCAAAAGAATCTTTTTTTTTTTTTTTTTTTTTGAGACAGTCTCACTCTGGAGTTCAGTGACATGATCAGATCACTGCAACCTCCTGCCTCCCAGGTTCAAGTGATTCTCATGCCTCAGCCTCCCAAGCAGCAGGAATCACAGACACACGCCACCACGCTTGGCTAATTTTTTGTATTTTAGTAGAGACAGGTTTCACATATTGGCCAGGCTGGTTTCAAACTCCTGGCCTCAAGTGATCTGCTTGCCTGGACCTCCCTAAGTGCTGAGATTACAGGCATGAACCACCACTCCGGGCCAAGAACCATTTTTTATTTTATTATTTTTCTTTTCTTTTTTCTCACAATATGCTTAAATTGTGGCTTTTTTTTTAATGCCTAACTTTATTTTCTAATTTTCCACAATGAACATTTATTACGTGTATATAAAATAGGGGAAAATAACCATCGGATCCATTTTGTCCTGATTTTAAAATCTTTTTTTAGGGCCGGGCGTGATGGCTCACGCCTATAATCCCAGCACTTTGGGAGGCCAAGGCAGGTGGATCACAAGGTCGAGAGATCAAGACCATCCTGGTCAACAAGGTGAAACCCCATCTCTACTAAAAATACAAAAATTAGCCGGGCATGGTGGTGCGCGCCTGTAGTCCCAGCTACTCGGGAGGCTGAGGCAGGAGAATTGCTTGAACCCAGGAGGTGGAGGTTGCGGTGAGCCAAGATCGTACCATTGCACTCAGCCTGGGTAACAAGAGCGAAACTCCGTTTTTTTGAGACGGAGCTTTGTTCTTTTGTCAAGGCTGGAAGTGCAGTGGCATGATCTTGGCTGAGATCAGCCTCCTCCTCGTGGATTCAAGTGATTCTCCTGTCTCAGCCTTCGGAGTAGCTAGGGTTACAGGTGCCCACCACGACACCTGGCTAATTTTTGTATTTTAATAGAGACGGGGTTTCACCATGTTGGCCAAGCTGGGCTTGACCTCCTGACGTCAGGCGATCCGCCCGCCTCAGCCTCCCAAAATGCTGGGATTACAGGCATGAACCACCGCACCCAGCCCATAACAGATTTATGAACAACTTAGCATTTGGAAATGATTACTGAGCTGAGCTTTTAGAAATGAATGGAAATTTGCTCCCAGGCCAGAGAAAGCATTCCAGGAAGAGAAAAGTGTGTGTTACAGCTTGAAATAACTAAGTGGGCAGAAAATGTTTCTGTATTTGAAAAATTGAGACCAGACTTTATATAGAAAAGTAGTTCAAGGTACCACAGTCTGTTAAAACCAGTGAGCGTTTTCCATCCAGTTACCATGGTGAAAGCTTGTCAAGGAAGCAGGTTTGGAAAATTTCAAAAAGGGATGTTTGTAGAAAATTATCAGAAGTCTCCAGGGCTTCATGAAACACAATAGAACTCAAGCCCTGCTTCAACGGGACGCATCACTTTCCTCAAAGCCTTTCAAGTATTACCTTTTGCTGAATGTGTTACTCAACCTGATGAAAGTTAATAATTTATGGAGCTCTGATCTTTCCGGGAGAAAACAAACCCGATAATGACAGGCAAGGCAAAGTCAGGTCAGACTACGCCTCCAATTTCTTTTGAGTTTCGTTGGCTTTAGGATCGCCATGCCTACTTTAGGCGTTCACTTTCCCCTTGCCTTTCTCTTTGTCTCTCTCTTCACCGGCTCTCCCAGCTTTCTGGGTGTCCTGGCTTAGCAGCTGACCAGGTCCTCCGCGGGCTTGCTTGTCCTCCCACCCCCAGCTCCGCCTGCTGACCGGAGGGGCGGGGCATCGCTAACGGAGAGACGGGTGGCAGCGGGCGGGGCGGCAGCGCAGGCGCATTGGGTTCGCCGCGCCGAACTGCAGCCATGGAGCAGGCAACTCCGGACCCCGAGCGGCAGCTCCAGCCGGCGCCCCTGGAGCCGCTGGGCCGCTCAGACGCTGGGCTAGGGGTTACGGTCGATGAGGAAGCGGAGAGGGCCCGAGAAGAAGGCTCCGGGGGCGACACGGTGAGGAGAAGGGGCAGCATAGCCCTTATGGCCTGTGTCGTGGCCTAGCGGGCAGGGCCAGGCTGGGCTGCACTCGGCTCCGCTGGCGCGGGCCGGTGGGCTTGGCCGGGAAGGCCCAGCCGTGAGGGGAAGTGAGGTGGAAAGGCGGGGGCCGCAGGTGCAGTAAGGGGAGGCTCGGTGGAAAAGCGGGGTGCTGGGTGCGGGGCGAGCGCCAGGCGCTGCAGGTGACCGAGGGAAGAGTCGAGACGGCGGAGGAGAGGGAAAGGGACGCGTGGGTGCCGGAGCCCCGGATGGGCGAGGCTGGAGGGGGTTTTCAGTGGTTGCGTAGCCGGCAGATCTGAACGGCGAGAGGAACGCTGATGTTTTAGGCAGTTGTTAAGGGGTTTTGCTGGGAAGGGGCTTAAAGGGACGCAATGGGGAGTGGGCAGCTGTGCTTGAGAAGGAGGGGAGTGCGGGACTAGAGTGAGGTGCAGGTGGAGGCAATAAGTGTGGTTGGTCTGGTTCTGCCATCAGGAATTGAAGAACGTGTCAGCTTCAAGAAAAGGTACAAATGAGAAAACATTTTTTAAACTCCTTGTTTGGCTGTAATTTCTTTATTTGCGGGGAAGTGCCGTATTTCCCATTGGAGACTTATTGAAATCCCATGTACTTTTTGAAGACTCTTTAGTGATTTTCATTTGCTTGAGGAAAAGGAGAAAAATGTGTCATATATATGTGTTTCATTTCAGAATGTTTTCATATATAATGCAAGATTTGTAGACCTGCTTATATTGAAGCCTTTAAGAAACAAACTGCAGTGCTCCACGTCAGACCACCCTGCCCAGTCTCCTTTTGTGTGCATTGCTCACACAGCTCACTTCAACCTCGAACTCCCAGGCTCAAATGATCCTCTTGCCTCCGCCTCCCGAGTAACTGGGACTACAGGCACACACCACCACGCCCGGCTAATTTTTTTTTTTTTTTTTTTTTTTGAGACGGAGTCTGACTATTCACAGGGGCTGGAGTGCAACAGGCTGGAGTGCAGTGGGGCGATCTCGCTCACTTTGTATTTTTAGTAGAGATGGGTTTTCACTGTGTTGGTCAGGCTGGTCTTGAACTCCTGACTTTTGGTGATCCACCCTCCTCGACCTCCCAGAATGTTGGGATTACAGGCGTGAGCCACCATGCCCCACCAAATTTTTGTATTTTTTGTAGGAGATGGGGTTTCACCGTGTTGCCCAGGCTGGTCGGCAACTCCTGGGCTCAAGCCATCTGCCCACCTGGGCCTCCCAATAGTGCTGGGATTATAGGTGTGAGCCATAGCGCCCAGCCTGGAAAGACTTTTTAGTTTGGAGACCAGCCAACGGGGGCTTCAGGATTTGAAGGTTTTGCCTGCTGAGGAAAATATCTAGGTATACAGGGTAGCATGAAGACTTTTTTGGGTGTACTTTTTTTTTTTTCTTTGAGACAGCATCTCACTCTGTGAGGCTGGAGTGCAGTGGCGTGATCTCTGGTCACTGCAAACTTCTGCCTCCCAGGGTCAGGAAATTCTCATACCTCAGCCTCCTGAGTGGCTGGGACTACAGGCGTGTGCCAACACAGCCAACTAATTTTTTTTGTTGTTGAGACGGAGTCTTGCTTTGTCACCAGGTTGGAGTGTAATTGCGCCATCTCGGCTCATTGCAACTTCCACCTCCCAGGTTCAAGCGATTCTCCTGCCTCACCCTCCTGAGTAGCTGGGATTATAGGCATCTGCCACAATGCTCAGCTAATTTTTTTGCATTTGTTTTTAGTAGAGACGGAGTTTCACCATGTTGGTCAAGCTGGTCTTGAACTCCTGGCCTCAGGTGATCCACCCATCTCGGCCTCCCAAATTGCTGGGATTATAGGTGTGAGCCACTGCACCTGGCCCTAATTTTTATACATTTAGTAGAAACGGGGTTTCACCATGTTGGCCAGGCTGCTCTTGAACTCCTGACCTCAAGTGATCCACCCATCTCAGCCTACCAAAGTGTGGGATTACAGGTGTGAGTCACGGCACCCGGCCAATTTCCTGACATTTTTGGAAAATACTTGTAAATATGTGTTACAAGAGGCCGTCAGTTAATGACCAAAGTTATGCAGTTTTTTGTTTTGTTTTGAGATAGAGTTTCACTCTGTCGTCTAGGCTAGAGTGCAACTGTCAGCTCACTGCAACCTCCACCTCCCTGGTTCAAGCAGTTCTCCTGCCTCATCCTCCCAAGTAGCTGGTACTACAGGCCTGCACCACCACATCCGGCTAATTTTTGTATTTTTAATAGAGACGAGGTTTCACCATGTTGGCTAGGCTGGTCTTGAACTCCTGACTTCAGGCGATCTGCCTGCTTTGGCCTCCTAAAGTGCTGGGATTACAGTGGTGAGCCACCGTGCCTAGCCTATGTGGTTTCTTAAAACAACTCCCTAATTTGGGCAAATATTTCAGAATTACTAGGCATTCAAACAAACATACATTTAGTGCATTCCTTCCCCTTCCCCTGTTCTCCTCTCAAAGAGAAAAGCAAACTAAAAACTCATCCTTTGAGGATCTTCATATCCCTTCACCTCTCTCTGTACTCTCTCAGTCTGTCTTCAGTTGAGAATTACTGTTGGATTTTTATGGCCTCATTGTAGCTGTTACTGGTAGGAAGGACTGGGCACAAAAGTAAGTTAGTTTTGTGTGGGCTATGCACAGTGGGGCTCTACTTTTTATTTAATTCTCAAAATTACTTCCTATAGATGAGTAAATGGAACCAGCCAGAAGCTGAGAGAGAAGTAATTTGGCCACGGTCACAAGCTAGTCAGCATGGCTGGGATTTGAATCTAGGTTTACCTCGATTTGAAATCAGTGCTTTTTCCATTAAGCCATTAAACTTTTTTTCATTAAAAAAAAAAGTTTAAAATAGTCTTGTACATTGTTCCAATACTATATTTAAAGTATTTAGTGTAGTTAAGACTAAGTTGTAATTTTTTAGACTAGTCAAGTGCAATAGTGAGAAGGGGAAAACAAGTAGAACAAGGAGTTTGATCTGTGACTGATTGTGTGAAAATCAGTTGAGATAACCTACGTTCAGACCAGCCCAAGTTGTAATTTTGAAAAAGAAAAAAAGGTGTGAAAGATGTGTTGATTTATCCATTTTTTACTAGAAAGATACCTAGGCAAATAGTGTTCAGAGATGAAAAAAAAAGCTTGCTTACCCACCCTTTCTCTCTCTTTTTGAAACAGTGTCTTGCTCTGTTGCCCTGGCTGGAGCGCAGTGGCAGAATCTTGGCTCACTGCAAACTCTCCCTCCTGGGTTCAAGTGATTCTTGTGCCTCAGCCTCCCGAGTAACTGGGGCTAATGTCATGTGCCTCTATGCCTGACTAACTTTTTATTTTTAGTAGAGAGGGAGTTTCACTATGTTGGCCAGGCTGGTCTCAGACTCCTGACTTCAAGTGATCCACCTGCCTTGGCCTCCCAAAGTGCTAGGATTACAGGCGTGAGCCACTGCGCCTGGCCCAGCCTTATTTTTGACTGCAGATTTTAAGAGGGAGAGTAATTTGTACTAATTATTTTACCCCAAGAGGTTTTGCAAACTTCACTGCCAAAGAGTCACAAGACTCTTCTGGTTTTAACGCCACTAATCGGGATTCTTTAAACTCTATGTAAGCTCTTTTTCTGTACAAGTGCATTTGTTTTTTAAAGCTATTGTTCTATTTAAAATAATTTGGAAAATGGAAAATATGAGAAGGGAATTCATTCTCTAAGAAAGGAGTAATTAGTTCAAGCAGAAGGAGAGGAAATAGCAAGGGAATGGAAGACAGTGCTTTTTTAGATTCCATTGAGTTGGCAGTTAACAGATAGGTCTTTGCCAGAGAAAAACCATTTACAGTATTTGCCAGAGAAAACCCATTACCTGAGGAATTCATAAGTGATTTTTAGGGAGAGTGCCCTACATCTGGGAGCACTGAAGGAGCAAAAACTGATTAAGCAGCCGGTGGTTAAAAATTCCAGTGCATATTGAACAGCTTCACTGATTGGCAGCAGAGAACTAAGTGGAATAGACCAGAATTGTGAGTAAGGTATGAGGCATCTGTGGAGAAGGATAACCTTAAAAAGGAAGAGAAAATTTACAGGCATAATTACATAGTTCATCAGTTTAGCAGTAATCATAAAAGCATACTCAAGAATTTTTTGTTGATTGAGAAGAGGTCTCACTTTGTTGTCCAGGTTGGTCTCAAACGTCTGGGCTCAAGTGATCCTCCCACCTCAGCCTCCCAAATAGCTGGGATTACAGGTGTGAGTCACCATGCCCAACCCCAAATACATTTTTTTTTTTTTTTTTTTTTTTTTTTGAGACAAAGTCGCCCTCTGTGGCCCAGGCTGGAGTGCTGGGGCATGATCTCTGCTCACTTCAGCTTTTACCTCCCAGGTTCAAGTGATTCTTCTGCCTGAGCCACCCAGGTAGCTGGTACTACAGCCACATGCCACCATGCCTGGCTAATTTTTATATTTTCTTAGTAGAGTTGGGGTTTTGCCGTGTTGGCCAGCCTGGTCTCGAACTCCTGGCCTCAAGCAATCCTCCTGCCTTGGCCTTCCAAAGCAAAATACACTTTTACCTCATAATCAGCATATGCATACTTTCGTATGTGATTGCTGTTTCAGGAAACAACTACTTCATGCAACACTTTCTGATATTTTTCTTAAAAAACTTTTTTCTTTTTAAAGACGGGGTTTCACCATGTTGGGCAGGATGGTCTCAATCTCTTGACCTGTGATCCACCATCCTTGGCCTCCCAGAGTGCTGGTATTACAGGTGTGAGCTACCACGCCCGGCGATAATTTTCTTTTCTGTATTTTTTAATAATAAAGAAGCACTAGGCTGTATGCAGTGGCTCACACTTGTAATCTCAGCACTTTATGAGGCTGAGGCACATGCCTTGAGACCACGTAGGGCATTGTAGGGACACCCAGTCTACAAAAAATTAAAAACTTAGCTGAATGTGGTGACATGCGCCTTTGGTCCTGGCTACTCATGAGGCTGAAGTGGAAGGATCACTTGAGCCAGGGAGGTTGAGGTAGCAGTGAGCCATGATCTTGTCACTGCACTTCAGTCTGGGTGACAGAGCAAGACTTTGTTAAAAAAAAAAAGAATTGGAGGCCAGGTACGGTGGTTCACGCCTATAATCCCAGCACTTTGGGAGGCTGACGTGGACGGATCACCTGAGGTGAGGAGTTTGAGACCAGCCTGGGCAACATGGTGACACCCCGGCTCTACTAGAAATGCAAAATACAAAAATTAGCCAGGCATGATAGCACATGCCTATAATCCCAGCTACTTGAGAGGCTGAGGCAGGAAAGTTACCTGAACCTGGGAGGCGGAGGTTGCACTGAGCCTCGATCTTGCCACTGCACTCCTGCCTGAGTGAGTGATAGAGCAAGACTCCATCTCAAAAAAAAAAAAAAAAAAAAAATGTTGGTCACAACCCACCAACTTAATTTCATAGGCTGTGAATGTGTTACTCAGTTTGGAACACTGTTCAAACTTAACGTATTATTTATTTTAAATAAAAATTAATGTTTTCTGAATAGCTGTGCTGTTATTTATAGAGAAAACCACAAGAGAACAGGTCACGTATTATTGCCCTATTTTTCTTAATTACTGCTTTGGACTTAATGTTTCTGTCTCCCCAAAATTCATATGTTGAAACCTAATCCCAGGTGCTGATGTTTGGTGGAGGGGTTTTGAGAGGTGATTAGGTAATGGATATGGAGCCTTTGTGAGTGGGATTAGTGCCCTTATTACAAAAAAAAGAAAAAGAACCCCAGAAATCTCCTTTCTTCCTGCCATTTTAGGACACAGTGAAACACAGCTGTCTGTGAACCAGGAAGCAGACCCTCACCGAATCTGCCAGTTCCTTGATCTTGTACTTTCCAGCCTCCAGGACTGTGAGCAATGAATTTCTCTTTATAAACCACCCAGTCAATGGTTGTTTGTTTTAGCAGCCTGAACTAAGTTATTTACAGCTGAAGTAAGCATCACGATTAGTAAACACATCATTTTTAACCTAGTACCAGAAACCTCTGATCAGTGTAGACAAAGCCCTGAAGGGAAGTAATTTCAGTAGGTGGTTCTTTTTTTATTTTTTGAGGTGGAGTCTCACTCTTTTGCCAGGCTGGAGTGCAGTTGTGCAATCTCAGCTCACTGCATCCTCTGCCCCCTGGGTTCAAGCAGTTCTCCTGCCTCAGCCTCCCAAGTAGCTGGGACAACAGGCTTGTGCCACCACTCCCAGCTAATTTTTTTTTTTTTTTTTTTTTTGAGACAGTTTCACTCTTATTACCCAGGCTGGAGTGTAGTGGCACAATCTCAGCTCACCGCAACCTCTGCCTCCTGGGTTCAAGTGATTCTCCTGCCTCAGCCTCTTGAGTAGCTAGGATTACAGGCATGTGCCATCATGCCCAGCTAATTTTGTATTTTTAGTAGAGACAGGGTTTCTCCCTGTTGGTCAGGCTGGTCTCGAACGTCCGAACTCAGGGGATCCACCCTCCTCTTCCTCCCAAAGTGCTGAGATTACAGGTGTGAGCCACTGTGCCTGGCCTAATTTTTGTATTTTTAGTAGAGACGGGATTTCACCATGTTGGCTAGGTTGGTCTCCATCTCTTGATCTTGAGATCCACCCGCCTTTGCCTCCCAAAGTGCTGGGATTACAGGCGTGAGCCAACGCACCCAGCTCTAGCTGGTTTTTATCGTTAGCTCTCTGACCTATTTCAGTAACACAGCAGCATCACACCTAGCAACAGGGTGATAAGGAAGTATACCATTATAGTAATGGTGGTTAGCTTTGGGTTGTGGGATACAGGTGATTTATATTAATTTTTTTCAGTCTTTGTACATTAAGCCTGTATAATTTTTCATCATCAGAAAATTTAAGCCTAAAAATAATGGGGGAAAAGTAATACTTGTGCTCTGGCTATGTGCCAAGCAACTTTAAAAACTCTTTCTATGCGGCTGGGCACAGTGGCTCATGTCTGTAATCCCAGCACTTTGGGAGGCCGAGGCAGGTGGATCACAAAGTCAGGAGATCAAGAGGAGACCATCCTGGCCAACAGGGTAAACCCCGTATCTACTAAAAATACAAAAATTAGCCGGGCGTGGTGGCCTGCACCTATAGTCCCAGCTACTTGGGAGGCTGAGGCAGGAGAATTGCTTGAACGCGGGTGGCAGAGGTTGCAATGAGCTGAGATCACACCATTGCACTCCATCCAGGCGACAGAGCAAGACTCCATCTCAAAAACAAATTAAAAAACTCTTTATATGTATTAACCCATTAAATGTGCCCAATGACTTTGTGAATTAGGTCTGCTCAGGCTGCTGTAACAAGGTACCACAGACTGAGTGGCTTAAAAACAATAGTAATGAATTGCTCACAGTCTTGGAGGCTGGGAAGTCCAAGGTTAAGGAACTGGCAGATTCAGGGACTGGTGAGGGATTGCTTTGTGGCTTATCCTAGGGTGTCTTTTCACTATGTCCTTACATGGTGGAAGGAGGAGAGGAACTCTCTGGGGTCTCTAAGCCCACCTATGAGGGCCCTACCCTTATGACCTAATCTTCCTAAAGGCCTCACTTCCTAATACCATCACCTTGAGTGTTAGGATTTTAACATACAAATTTTAGGAGGACACAAACATTCAATGTATTGCAGGTACTATTATCTCTGTTTTCCAGATGAGGAAACTGAAACACAGGCAGGCTAAATTACTTGCCCAGCCTAGCCATCATGGTGATACCCCATCTCTACTGTTAAAAATACAAAAATTAGTTGGGTGTGGTGGCACATGCCTGTAATCCCAGCTACTTGGGTAGCTGAAACATGAGAATCACTTGAACCCGGGAGGTAGAGGTTGCAGTGAGCAAAGATTGAGCCACTGTACTCCAACCTGGGTGACACTCTGTCTCAAAAAAAAAAAAAAATGGTATCTGTTGACGCTGCATTGAGGTGAGAGGATTGCTTGAACCTGGGCAACATAGCGAGACCTCGTTCTCTACACATAATATTTAAAATAAAATAAAAATTATGTCTCTCTATAAAGGGTCCCTGGTCTCATCTGCCATTCAACAAGTCAGTCCATGTTTAAATCTGTTGAATGTGTCCTTTTAACAATTATGTGTTAGTCTTGGCACTGTTGTGTGCTTTAATACTGACAGTTTTAGTAATTTTATATCATCTACCAACCCTACTAGTATTATTGTTGTGTGCCTGTTTGTATTCTCTAGCTTTTATGATAGCTGATATTATGCTTTTTTTTTTCCCTTCTTTGTAAACTGGATGGTATGTCAGGGTAAATTTATGATTCATATGTCTTATCCTTTTGACTGAGGCGATATTAATAACTTTATCAGTATGTATTTTCAGAATTCGGGTAATTTTTTATTGGAGCAGATGGTAAATCAAAATGCTTGGCCGTGGGCCAGAAGGTATTATTAATATAAGTATATATGTATGTATCAACCAGGGAGGGCTTCATAACCAACCCTAATGTTGAGTGGCTTGTGCTTATGTGATTTCTTGAGCTTTCTTTTCGTTGATGATTTCCTTCTGTCTCTCTTATTTTCTGTCTTAGTACACAAATATATAAAAACTTGCATTTTTTAAAAAATGGCTTGAGGACTGAGTGATTTGTTTTTGTTGGCTGATGATTTCAGCCTATTGGGTTGGCTCTTTTTCTTTATCTTCTTTTAGCATTTTTACCTTCTTCTACATTTTTCTTATACATTTTGGGAGCGCTCCATAGTGTATCATGTGTTTTCATTGCTGATTCATATTTTTGCACTGTCACAGAGCTCTTTCAGACCTCATAGTGCCTAGGTTTAATTTTATATATGTAGCTTTTTCTTTTACCTTTTGCTGTACCTGTGTTTCTTTTATCTCTCCTTCATAAAATACCCCAATTATAATACAGTACAACATTTTAAATTAAGGTAAAGCCCACCTCAATTTTGACAGTGAGCAAAGAAGAAAAAAAGCCATAGCATAGCAGTTATCCTGTGGTCTCACTCTCTCTTCCTCGTTTAGACTTGGAGTTAGATTGGGTGTATTTGAAACCTTTCTGCAGTAAACATACAGCCTAGAGGCTACCAGTGGTGTGTTTGTTCTTTTTCATCCTTTGGTATAGACCTGAGATGTTCTAGTGGGAAAAGATAGGAGTCTGCTCTTAAAACTGGGCTGCCTCAAGGGCGGAGCCTATTAACCACTGCCAAAAGATTAAGTGAATTTAAAGTTAAATGTAAGATGACTCCTGATTGTTTAAAAAAACTTATGCTGCCTGCTGATAATCTTGCCTTTTGGTGTATGTATAATATTTGACTTTTTATAGAGAGAGATTTGACTTTGGTTAAACCCAAAATTAGACATTAATATTGAGGATCATTTTTATTTGTATAATGTGTTTTTTCTTCAGTTTTAAAAATTGTGTTAAAATACATATGATGTAAAATTTACCATCTTGATAGTTTAAAAATGTTCAGTCTTAAGTACATTCACATATATTGTACAACCAGCCTCCAGAACTCCTTTCATCTTGTGGAACTGAAACTACCCATTAAACCACAGCTGCCAATTCTTCCCCCTCCCCCAGCTGCTGGCAGCCATCATTCTACTGTCTGTATGATTTTGACTATTCCAAGTACCTCATATACGTGGAGTCATACAGTATTTGTCTTTGTGTGACCATTTTATATTTCACTTATCATAATGTCTTCAAGATCTATAATCGGGTTGTAGCATATGACAGAATTTCCTTCCTTTTTAAAGAAGAGTAGTATTCCATTGTTTGTATATATTACATTTTAAAAATCTATTCATCTGTTGATGGACATTTGCATTGCTTCTACAGTTTACCTATTGTGAATAATCATGCTGTGACATGAATATACAAGTGTCTCTCTGAGACTCTGCTTTTAATTCTTTGGGGTATATAGCCAGAAGTGGAATTGCTGGATTATATTGTAATTCTATTTTCAATTTTTTGAGATACCACCGTACTATTTTCCGCAGGAGCTGCACCACTTTACATTCCCACCAGTAGGGCACAAAGGTTTCAATTTCTCCACATCCTCATCAATGCTCATTTTCTTTTTCTTTTTTTGGTTTTGTTTTGTTTTTTTGGAGACGGAGTCTCTCTGTCACCAGGCTGGAGTGCAGTGCTGCAATCTCAGCTCACTCACCAGGCTGGAGTGCAGTGCTGCAATCTCAGCTCACTCACCAGGCTGGAGTACAGTGCTACTTTCTCAGCTCACTGCAACTTCTACCTCCTGGGTTCAAGTGAGTCTCCTGACTCACCCTCCTCAGTAGCTAGGATTACAGGTGCGTACCACCACGCCCAGCTAATTTTTGTATTTTTAGTAGAGACAGGGTTTTCACTGTGTTGGCCAGAATGGGCTCAATCTCTTGACCTCGTGATCTGCCCACCTTGTGATCCGCCCGTCTCTGCCTCCCAGAGTGCTGGGATTACAGCCACCTCCCGGTCCCTAACACTTATCTTCTATCCCAACACTTATCTTCTATTGTTTGTTTTTCATAGTAGCCATTCTGATAGCTGTAAAGCGGTATCTCATTGTAGTTTTGATTTGCATTTATCTAATGATGAGTGATGTTGAGCATCTTACGTGCTTCTTCAGAGAAATGTCTATTTATGTCCTTTGCCCATTTTTCCATTTTTGAGTGAGATTTGTTTTGTTTTGTTTTTGAGACAGTCTTCCTCAGTCACCCAGGCTAGAGTCTTGGCATGATAGCTCAGTGCAACCTCTACCTCCCAAGTAGCTGGGATTATCGGCGCCTGCCACCACACCCAGATAATTTTTTGTAATTTTAGTAGAGACAGGGTTTTGCCATTTTGGCCAGCTGGTCTCAAACTCCTGACCTCAGGTGATCCACCCCTCTCGGCCTCCCAAAGTGCTGGAATTACAGGTGTGAGCCACTGCACCCGGCTGAATTGGGTTGTATTTTGTTGTTGAGTTTTGTGAGTTCTCTATAGAGTTTGGATTCATGAGAGAAAATACTTTCTCCCATTCTTTGGGTTGCCTTTTTACTCTACTAATACTATCTTTCCCCCATCCTGAGACATAGTCTCACTCTGTTCCAGCGGAGACTGAAATGCAATGGCGTGATCTTGGCTCACTGCAACCTCTGTCTTCTGGGTTCAAGCAATTTGCCTGCCTCAGCCACCTGAGCAGCTGGGATTACGGACATGCCACCACACTTGACTAATTTTTGTATTTTGGTAGAGACGGGGTTTTGCCATGCAAGCCAGGCTGATCTCAAACTCCTGACCTCAAGTGATCCACCTTCCTCGGCCTCCCAAAGTACTGGGATCACAGGCATGAGCTACTGTGCCTGGCCTATCTTTTGATGCATGACATTATTAATTTTCATGAAGTCCAATTTGCCAATTTTTTGTTTGTTTGTTTTTTACTGCCTGTGCCTTTGGTATCATATCCAAGAAATCATGGCCAAATCCAATGTCTTCAAACTTTTTCCTGTATTTTCTTTTCTTCTTTTCTTTTTTTTTTTTTAAGATGGAGTTTCGCTCTTGTTACCCAGGCTGGAGTGCAATGGCGCGATCTCGGCTCACCGCAACCTTCCACCTCCTGGGTTCAGGCAATTCTGCCTCAGCCTCCTGAGTAGCTGGGATTACAGGCATACGCCACCATGCCCAGCGAATTTTTTGTATTTTTAGTAGAGACGGGGTTTCACCATGTTGACCAGGATGGTCTCGATCTCTTGACCTCATGATCCACCCGCCTCGGCCTCCCAAAGTGCTGGGATTACAGGCTTGAGCCACCACACCTGGCCTCCCTGTATTTTCTTGTAAGAGTTTTATGTTTAGGTCTTTGAACCATATAAAGTTAATTTTTGTATAGGGTATTAGGTAAGGATCTAATTTCTTTTTTTTTTTTTTTTTGTATATGGATATTCAGTTTTCCCATCATCATTTGTTGCAAAAATTGTCCTTTTCCCATTGAACTGTCTTGTCATAAAATTGTTTGACCATATATTCAAAGGTTTATTTCTGGGCTATCTATTCAATTTCATTGTTCTACATGTCTGTCTTTATGCCAGTACCACACTGTTTTTATGACTGTAGCTTTGTAGTAAGTTTTGAAACCAGAAAGTATGAGTCATCCAATTTTATGCTTCATTTTCAAGATTGTTTTGGCTATTTGGGGTCCCTGAAGATTCCATATGACTCTTAGGGTTTTTCCTATTTCTGCAAACAATGTCATTGGATTTTCATAGGATTATATAGATTGCTTTGGGTAGTTTTGATATCTTAATATTAAATTTTCCAAATTATGAACATGGGATGTGGTTTTATTTATGTCTTAAATTTCTAGCAATGTTTTATAGTTTCCATTTTACAAGTCTTTTACCACCTTAATTGCCAAGTACTTTTTCTTTTTGATGCTATTACAAATTGACTTATTTTTATAATTTCATTTTCTTTTTTGTTTGTTTTATTTTATTTTGTTTTTTGTTGTTGTTGTTGTTGTTGTTGTTGTTGTTGTTTTTTGAGACGGAGTCTCACTGTTGCCATGGCTGGAGTGCAGTGGCCTGATCTTGGCTCACTGCAACCTCCACCTCCTGTGAAAACCGATTCTCCTGACTCTGAGAATGTCTTAATTTTTCCCACATTTTTGAAGGACAGTTAGCTAGATATAGGATTCTTAATGGACAGTTATTTTATTTTTAGCGCTTTGAAGATATCAGCTCCCTGTCTTCTAGCCTCCAAAATTTCTGATGAGAAATTTGCTGATAACCTTATTGAGGATTCCTTATATATGATCAGTTGCTTCTCTCTTGCTGCTGTCAAGATTCTGTCTTTGAAAAGTTATAAAGTCTCAGTAAACATCTTATTTGGAATTTGTCGAGCTTCTTGGATATTTATATATATTTTTTCCATCAAATTTGTGAAATTTTCAACCATTATTTCTTCAGATACTGTTCCTTCCCCTTTTTCTCTCTCCCTCTCCTTACTACCACAGTGTACATGTTGGTCCGTTTGATGGTGTCATGCATGTCCTTTAAGCTCTGTTTACTTTCCTTCAATCTTTTTTCTGTTCCCCAGACTTGATAATTTCCATTCTGTCTTCCATTTTGCCAGTTTTTCTTGTGCCTGCTCAAATTTGCCTTTGAACCCCTCTAGTGAACTTTAAATTTTAGTTATTGTACTTTTCAGCTCTAGGATTTTTTGTTTGTTTGTTTCTTTTTTTTTCTCTTCTCTATTGCCCAGGCTGGAGTGCAGTGGCATGATCTTGGCTCACTGCAACCTCTGCGTCCCAGTTTCAAGTAGTTCTCCATGTCTCAGCCTCCCAAGTAGCTAGGATTACATCTGTCCACCACCATGCCTGGCTAGTTTTTGTATTTTTAATAGAGATGGGGTTTTGCCATGTTGGCCAGGCTGGTCTTGAACTCCTGACTTGAGGTGATTCGCCAACCTCAGTCTTCCAAAGTCCTGTGATTACAGGTGTGAGCCACAGTGCCTGGCCACTTTTTGTTTTCTTTTTAAGTTTTCTATCTCTTTACTGATACTTCCATTTTGCTCATACATCTTTTTTTTTTTTTTTTTTTTTTTTTTTTTTTTGCTTTCTCCACATCTTCTTTAGGGTTCTCTGAGCATCTATAAGATGATTACTTTACAGTCTTTGTCGGCCAGGCATGGTGGCTCATTTGAGGCTGAGGCAGATGGATCATTTGAGGCCAAGAGTTCAAGACCAGCCTGGACAACATGCTGAAATGCTGTCTTTACTAAAAAATACAAAATTAGCCCAGTGTGGTGGCACACACCTGTAATCCCAGCTACTCAGGAGACTGAAGTACAGGAATCGCTTGAACCCAGGAGGTGGAGGTTGCACTGTGTTGAGATTGCACCACAGCACTCCAGCCTGGGTGAAGAGCTAGACTCTGTCAAAACAAACAAAAAGGAATGAAAAGGGGATAAAGGGATAAAGTCTTTGTGTAGCAGATCTGTCATCATGTCTTTTTCAGGAGCAGTTTCTGGTGATTTATTTTTTTCCCTCTGAAGGAATCATATCACCCTGTTTCTTTGTATGCCTTGTGATTTTTTGTTGTTGTTGACAGCTGGGCATTTGCATGTAATAATATGGTAACTCTGGACATTGAATTCTTCTCCTACCCTGAGGTTTGCTGTTTGTTATTGTTTTTATTTTATTTTCTAAATTACTGTAGGTTGTCTCCATGCCAAAGATCAGCCTGAGGGAGGTGTAAACTTACAGTCTTCTCAGATGTTTCTTAGCTTGAACCTTTTCCTGGGCATGTGTGGTTATTTTCTAATTGTCCCAGTTGTATTCAAATAACCAATTTTTTCTTTTTAAGAAACAAGGTCTTCCTGTGTTGCCCAGGCTAGTCTTGACCTCCTGGGTTGAACTGATCTACCAGCCTCAGCCTTTTTAGTAGCTGGGCTAAAGACACACACTGCCACACCTGGCTAAATGTCCAGGTTTAAACATCTGGCTCAAAAAAGGGGGTCAAAAGAAAAATGAAGGGAGGAAAAACAGAATGCCGGCCTTTGATGTCCCGGAAGTCACTTCAGACAGGGCAAGAGGTTTGCAACAATGTGGGGAGGAGCAGCAACAATGGCCACCACTTCTTTGTGCCTCTTAGAAGAAGCAGTCGGTGATCAGAAGACAGATCCTGGATGTTTGGAGAACAAGGTCCTTTTTGCCTACCAGGGCTTCATCACGCTGTTCCAGGAATGCTGAACAGCTGCCTGCTAGGGACTAAGGGATAGGTAGCTGAAATTGATAGAAATTAACCACATCTTGCCATCTAAGCCTTTCCCTGGAAGTTGTAAGCCTTTATTGGACTCCAGAGTTCTCAGATATTTACATCAGAGTCTGCCAGTGCAGTTGTTGGCTTGGTGGGGAGATGGATTCCTGATGCTTCCTATTCCACCCATCCTCCCAGAATCCTTTTGTCTAATGTGTTTTTAAGATACTTTCTTATGTATTTCTGTAGATTATTCTTGGTCACTAACGAAATGTCTAAATTTTAATCATTATATATATATAGTACCTTTTAAACTACCTCTGGAAGGCTGTGTGCTGTGGCTCACACCTGTAATCCCAGCACTTTGGGAGTGCCAAGGCAGGTGGATCACCTGAGGTCAGGAGTTTGAGACCAGTCTGCACAACATGGTGAAACCCCATTTCTACTAAAAATGTAAAAATTAGCTGAGCATGGTGGTGCATGCCTTTAATCCCAGCTACTTGGGAGACTCAGGCAGGAGAATCTCTTGAACCCAGGAGGCAAAAGTTGCAGTGAGCCGAAATCACGCCACTGCGTTCCAGCAGTGAGAGTGAGACTTGGCCTCAAAATATATATATATATATATATATATATATATATAAATACCTCTGGAAAAGTTAATGTACTGCCGTATGTTGATAAAGAACAGCTATCATTTGCTGCTGTCATTTTGCAACCCCTGGCAACTCAGGAAATATAAGAAACTATTTTGAAATATGTAAACCCAATAATGGGTTGAATTTATAGCTGAGGCTTTTTTTCAGTACCATCGTAATTTTTGTTGTTTCATTTATTTTTGTCCAGATGACACACAATAATTTTTGGTTGAAGAAGATAGAAATCAGTGTTTCAGAAGCAGAAAAGCGAACTGGAAGAAATGCCATGAACATGCAAGAAACATATACTGCTTACCTCATTGAAACAAGGTGGGTGATGAAAATTACACCTGGACGGGTATATGTGGAAAGCTTTTTCTGGTAGCTGTTGGTGCAGACTCTGTTGTATAACAGAATTAAGATTTTTTTTTTTTTTTCAGGATTGAGTTTGTTTACTTTTTTTGGATACAGGAGTCTCATTCTGTTGCCTGGGCCTGGAGTGCAGTGGTATAGTCATGGCTCACTGCAGCCTCAAACTCCTGGAGTCAAGTGATCCTCTCACCTCAGTTTCCTGAGTGCTGGCATCTAGGCATGAGCCACCATGGCTGGCTAATTCTTTCTTTTTTTTTTTTTTGAGACAGAGTTTTGCGCTTGTTTCCTAGGCTGGAGTGTAATGGCATGATCTCGGCTCACTGTAACCTCCACCTCTCGGGTTCAAGTGATTCTCCCGCCTCAGCCTCCTAAGTAGCTGGGATTACAGGAGCCCACCATCATGCCCAGCTAATTTTTGTATGTTTAGTAGAGACAGGGTTTCGCCATGTTAGCCAGGCTGGTCTCGAACGCCTGACCTCGGGTGATCCACCAACCTCAGCCTCCCAAAGTGCTGGGATTACAGGCGTGAGCCACCGCACCTGGCCTGGCAGGCTAATTTTTAAATACTTTTTTTTGTTTTGAGATGGAGTCTCACTCTGTTGCCCAGGCTGGAACACAGTGGCATGATCTTGGCTCACTGCAGTGTCCATCTCCAGGGTTCAAGTGATTCTCCTGCCTTAGCCTCCCAAGTAGCTAGGATTACAGGCATGTGCTACCACATTCAGCTGATATTTTTGGTATTTTTAGTAGAGACAGGGTTTCACCATGTCACGCAGTCATGAGCCACTGTGTTCGGCAATTTTTAACTTTTTTGTAGAAACGGGGTCTCACTGTGTTGCTCAGTGTGTTCTCAAACTCCTGGGCTCAAGCGATACTCCTGCCTCAGTCCCCCCAAATGCTGGGATTACTGGTGTGAGCCACTGCATCCAGCCCCATTTCTTTACCTTTTAATGGGTAAGTTCTATCTTTTGCTGTGATACCCTTGGTATATTTTAGTGAATTTGTTTTGTGCAGAGAGGGAAGGTTAATGGAATACTTTTAGAATCTGGAATGTTACTTGATACATGCTTTGGTGGATTCCTTGGTCTTAGAGTCCCTGTGCAATTTTGTAAAAGGATACCAGGTTCTCAGGCATGTATGAAGTGAACTTGGGCCGGTGGAAATGGTTAACAAAGAATTCTAGGAGTAGAGAGTAAGGTCTGAGTCCTCTTAGGACAGCTGGGAGTTACAAAGAAATTAACCCACAAAAAAATTAATTGAGATTGGCACTTTAGAACTTGGAGTAAATTTAAGAATAAAGGAAAGTAGACACCTTTAAAAAACAAAAAGAACTTGGTTAGTAAAAATAGAAAAGGCAAAGTAAATTATGGGGTAAGAAATCAAAACTTAGCAGAAAATTTGTCTTTTAACCTCATAAGGAAAAAGCTAAAGGAATTAAATTTGTTTTGTCTAAGGAAAGGCAAGGGAAGACTCAATTTGTTGTTACCAGTTATAAACAGTTTATAGAAAGAATAAAGAATATACTATTTCTTTTCTGTCTGCAGGGAGTGAGCAGAAATGCTTTCAATTAAAACAAATAGATATGAGAGAATTTTTGATAGCCAGTAAAATAATAGACTACCAAACCTGGCCAGGCATGGTGGCTCATGCCTGTAATCTCTGCACTTTGGGAGGCCAAGGCAGGCGGATAACCTGAGATCAGGAGTTCAAGACCAGCCTGGACAACATGGTGAAACCCTCTCTCTACTAAAAATACAGAAATTTGCCAGGTGTGGTGGTCCTAGCTACTCGGGAGGCTGAGGCAGGAGAATCAGTTGAACTTGGGAGGTGGAGATGGCAGTAAGCCGAGATTGCATCACTGCACTCCAGCCTGGGGACAGAGTGAGACTTTTGTCTCAAAAATAAATAAATCACAAACTAGATCCCCCAAGGGATGGATCTGAGCACTTTATCCACAGACCTTTGTGATCATAGACAAAGCATATGCTATGCAGCTGTGTTCTCATCTGTAAAATGATAATAAATCCTGCCTCACAGGGTTGTCATAAGAATTAAATATGAAAATATACGAAGCCGAGGCAGGAGCATGACTTAAGCCCAGGAGTTTGAAACCAGCCTGGGCAACATAGCTGGACCCCATCTCTACAAAAAATGGAAGAATTAGCCAATGTGGTGACATGTGCCTGTGGTCCCAGCTACTTAGGAGGCTAAGGTGGGATGATTGCTTGAGCCTAGGAGGTCAGGGCTGCATTGAGCCATGATTGCACCACTGCACTCCAGCCTGGGCGACAGTGAGACTCTGTCTTGGAAAAAAAATAGTATGAAAAGTTCTTTACTTAGTGCCTGGTTCATAAGCATTCTGTAGTTATAATTTTAAAGGTGATTGTTTGTATGTGTATGTTTTTGTTTTTAACAAATAACCTAAGCGTTGTTCTGTTCCTTTTCAGGTCAGTTGAACATACTGATGGTCAGAGTGTCCTAACAGATTCACTGTGGCGGCGATATAGTGAATTTGAGTTATTGAGAAACTACCTTTTAGTTTACTATCCACATATTGTTGTGCCACCTCTGCCAGAAAAACGGGTAAGAAGTGAAATGGCAGTAGTTTAGAGGTATTCAGCATTTAGGCTGTTCTTAATGATTATTTTGTTTACCTAGGCAGAATTTGTTTGGCATAAACTTTCTGCTGACAACATGGATCCAGATTTTGTGGAGAGGCGACGGATTGGTTTAGAAAACTTTCTCTTGAGGATTGCTTCACATCCCATCCTTTGTAGAGACAAAATTTTCTACCTATTTTTAACACAGGTATTTTTCTTTTATTTAGTCTTAGTAAAATATTCATTTAATTTTGGTTTCTTTAAAAAATTGTAGAATACTTACTTTAAGGTTCCTTTTGTTAATTTATATGCAGTTTATTTTTTATGAATTTCTAATTATTGGATTATGTCATTCTTTTGGCTAACTTTTTTTATTTGAAGATACTGATGATGGTATTTTTGGTATCACTTGAATAATATTAAATTTGTCTTTAGTATTTTGAAGCCCAGATCTGTAAAATCTTGGGTTCACCTTTTGGTAATCTTTTAGAAGTTGGATTGAAAGTTTAATTTTGAAGTGAAAAGAAATTTTTTTAAGCCTCTCTCTCCCATCCTTGCTGAAGTAAGAGCAGAATGATAGGAATTTAATTTGGAATATTTGCTTTGCAATACTGATCTTTAAAATTAACTTCAATTTTTAGGAAGGTAACTGGAAGGAGACTGTGAATGAAACTGGGTTTCAGCTGAAGGTAAGAATATTTCTATGAAATAATTTGCCATGTTTCTTTACAGTTCCCAGCATAGTGCCATACACTCAATAGGAACTTGGTATTTATTGAATAGATGAATGCTGGAAATCATCTTTACAATGAATATCATTAGTAAGGTTTTCAGAGAAACACTGCAATTCACTTTTGATTCGTGTAATTTTAGTTACTAATGAGACTATACTGGGCAGATTTATTAATTTAATTCTACAGGGAAAGAACATTTTGAAACAGTAATTTGTTTTGTTTTGTTTTTTTAGTTAGTGTTTACAGTAATGAAGCAGTAATTTAAATGCAAGTTGTAGATTTTCCCCAGTGTACTCATATTATACTTTGCTCCTTTTTCTTCTACTGTCCTGTTTCCACATATATCCCTGCCCCCAACAATTGCTCACTCTATCAGATATGAAAGAGTCCGAACTTAGTAGACTAAAAGATAAGCCCTCTGTCATGCTGCTTCTGTCTGTTGAGACATGGTAGCCAGTTTGAAATGGGGACAAAGGAGTCATTTTGAAATAGTTCTAAGTTAGTTTTATCTGTCAGTGATGCAGGATTATTTAGTTTTTATAACAGCTTTTTAAAGTTTACTCACTAGAATTAGTGTTTGGGAATGAGATTGTTATCTGGAAATCGAGGATCATAGTGGTGGTGAGCTGGACACCCTAATTCTACGCTGCTCTTTTTATATTCCTTAAAAGAAATATAACAAAGGTTATTATAAACTTTTAAAAGTTTTTATCGCTGGTGTAAACTGAAATAAATAAGTAGACTAACAGAATATAAATTGATATATAACATAATATAAATTGTTAAATGACTCACATAATACAGTACCAAAAGTTTAATATGTCCAGACAAGAAGAAGAAAATTATTTTACAGTAATTTAAAAAACACTTCTCATGCATTGGCAGATAGGTATTTGAAATTTTGCACAAAACAAACTAGAAAGAGAAAATTTTTTTTCTGCTAAGAAAATATGATAAACTAATTCTGTCATAAAGTGAATTTATAAATATTTTGGGGATTTTATGATTTTGAGACAGAGTCTTGCTCTGACACCCAGGCAGTGATGTGATCATGGCTCACTGCAGCCTTGAACTCCTGGACTCAAGCGATATGCCTGCCTCAGGCTCCCAAGTAGCTGGGACTGCAGGTGCTTGCCACCATACCTGGCTAATTTTAAAATTTTTATTGTGTAGAGATGATCACTATATTGCCCAGGCTAGTTTCAAACTCTTGGGCTCAATTGATTCTCTCATCTCAGCCTCCCAAAGTGCTAGTTTTACTGTGCCCAGCTATACATATTTTATTAACAGATATACTGAAAGAATTAGAATTTTCTTGGCTGTAATTCATCACTTTATGACACTCAGAGGGAATGGTAGAATTTTTGTTTAAGGATGGATTTGAAATAACTTGGAACTTTAAAAATTGATTTATGTTTATATAGGGTTTTCTGAAAAATAGTTTAAGATCTGTTAAAAGCTAACAATAAGGAAAAGATTAAAATACAGTTGTTTTAGTGAATTCTTTTTATATAATAAAAATTTTTTAAATTCCAGTCATTAAGTCATTAGTGCAGTTAATAATTACCTAGTTTTGTCCTTGAATTCAGTTTTGACCATAACTTAGTACTGATTCTGAGAAAACTCTTGAGTTTCTCCATCATTATAAAATTGCTATTTACCAGGTGCCTTGAATCTTCTGTGTGGATACTACTTAAATATTTAGATACAATGTTTCATTTGGGGGGAACCTTATATATGGTACTTTTAAAAAGTATTTGAAAGGTAATATTAAATTCAGTATTAATAATTCAAAACATCAGACTTGTAATGAAGTGAGCCAGAAATAAAATTAATGGAGAGAATTCAGAAACCCATGTTTCTGTCTGTATTCCTTATTTTGTTGTGGATGTTTCTTGTTTTAGGTCCTTCCTTCCGTTAGGGAAATGGTACCTTTTTGCATAGCCTCATATACATGTGTACATCATACAAATATGAGTTTGTCCACAAACATATGTATATAACATGTGTGTGTCTGTGTGTGTGTGTGTGTGTGTGTATATGTAGAGAGAGAATGAATGTGTCACGTTTCACATATCTGGAGGTCATATATTTAGCAGTTACAGCTAATCTGATCACAGTTGAAAGCTGGGATTTAAGCAAAACTGACTTCTGAGATGTTCAAGGGGATGTAACATGGCTTTCTGCTATACTTTTCTACTGTATTTTGGTCTTCCTGGAGAGGACCCATTAATTTTATTATAGATATTCAGACAAACTTCACTGTTTCTTAGGTTACAACATATTTTAGCAAAAGATTAAAAAGTGAGTGGAGATAGGCACATTGTGACAATAGTGACAATTGACAGCTGAGCCGAATAGCAGAAAAGGAGGTAGCTGTGGTATGTGAGTTATACATTGCAGTCTGGGTGCATTCTGCATGAGGCAAAATTCTTACCCACCTGTAACCCCTGGGGCTTTACTGTGTCATAGATGGGTTCAATATTAGTTGTTTATAATGGTTACTGGGAGGCCTCAAGAAAAAGTAGAATTTTGCTTGTGTTCACTTAATTCAGTGTGTAGTCAGTGGACTGCATGTAACTCAATTGATGGGATTGTTTGTTCAAAATACTGAATTCATCCCAGACATACTTAATCCCATTAGCCTAAAACTTGACAACTATTGCTGTAAGGTGGTAAAGAAAACTATTTTTAGGAAGATAATTTTAGAAAGATTGTCAAAAATGGTAAAAAAGAAAACCTTTTTAGAATCTAAAGCCGTTTCTTATCTGAGTATTACCATCATCATGTATGCTTACTATGTGCTAAGCACTATACTATAATTATACTATATTTTACTTTGCTGAATATTGCCTTAGTAACTTTGAGATGAGTCAATATTCCCATTTTTAGATGAGTCAATATTCCCATTTCTAGAATGTGATTTAGCCACGGTCACATAATGACAAGTGATAGAGGCTGAATCGAAGACTAACTCAAAGCCCTCCTTAATTACCATCCCATATTACTTCTTCTTGCTTATTAATTATGTACTTAATATATGCAGAGGTGATTGTTAAAGGAAGTGTTGAAAGCTTTATTTTGTGAAAATGAGGTCATTCTGAATCAGACCAAATATTCATATTTTAGAAGAATATTTGACTTTGGCTCTTGGATTGTTACCCTCAAATTGAAGTGTTATCTTACTTTAATTTTCCTTTTCTCAGGCACATTTAATTTAATGGGTAGTTTTGGCCTACTGGATTAATATTTTCTTAAAATTTTTGAGAGTGATTATTACACCCAGCAGGATAATCATAAAATTTAGTTTCCTTTTATCTGTGTTCTATTTAACATAAGCATGAGCAACCAATTTTTTCATCATTACTGGTTATTGGCATTTCTTCTTTTTTGAGGGGTGGGTATTTATATAAATACTCAAGCTGGGCTTGATGGCATGTTCCTATAGTCCCAGCTACTTAGGAAGCTGAGGCAGGAGGATCAATTGAGCCCACGAGTTTGAGACTAGACTGGGCAACATAGCGAGACTCTGTATCTATTTAAAAATAAATACACAAAATATAAAACTCATTTTACTTAATTCAGTGAAAGAAGAACAAAGGGTTTATACTTAAAGTAATGAACATATAAACTAGTTGCTTTAATATAAAAGTAACATTTTTAACTCAGTTAACATAGTCATGAAAGTATTTTACTAAATACTCAATCCTTAAATGAATTTAGGCTGATTCATAAGAACCCAGGACCCTGCTTCTTCCTTGGAGCAGGGACTACCAGAGCCAAGGTGTAGGCCCTTAGTTAGGATCTCTGTTAATCTCTTTATTGCACAGGAACTCAGAGAGATCCAGTGTAGAGATTCCAATGCTGGTGCCTACAGGAAGAGGTACTCTTCTAAGTATTGTGGATACAGTAGTGAATGAGCTGGAAACATTCATAAGCTCCATGTTATTGTGGAGCTTTTATTTTAGTGGAAAGACATTAAGTTAGCATTTAAATAAAAAACAGATTAAAATAGTGATAAGTGGTATAAAGGAAATAAAGCATCGTCCTTGTTAAGGAATATGACAGCAGGGATTATTTTTCAGGGGTTACCCTAAGGTGAGTGACCATAAAGTTTATTCAAAAGGGACCCCATTAGAAAGGAAATAGGAACACTTAAGACTAGAACAACAGCTGTAAACCAGGACTGTCCTGGGCAAACCAGCCCACCTGGTCACCCTTCTTTGAAAAGCTTACATTTGAGCTGAGGCATTAGTGATGATAAGAAACCTGCAGTGGAGTCACCAGAAGGCCAAGGAAGAGGAATGTGCCTTGAGAGGGAGGCCCAGGCTGGGTATGCTTTGCTAGGTAATGTGCTGGGGAAGATAAAGCAGGTTAAAGTGTTGACACAGCAGCCTTTTTGCAGTCCAGGGGCCACCTTAAAACTGTGCCTTTTTGTGGCTCTTATATTAATGGACAACCAAGAATCAAGTGAATAAGATGATTTCAGATAATGCTGTTTTAAAGGAAGTAAAATAGGACTGTAGGAAACAATAATGAATCAAGGGGCATCTTTAGCTGTTGAATGGGGAATCTGATTAGATGGATGATAACTTGTCAGATTTGGAACAGTCCAGGAGATCCAGCTTTTGGGAAAAGTTTCTGGTTTGGTGACATTTCAGGCCCATTTTTTATGGAATCTTGAGAAATGAGCAGGTTGAGTTGGGTGTGGAGATAGACCTGATGTGACAAAACATTTGGTAAGCAAAGGTTAGAATGGTGACCTTTTACCTTTATATGACTTCTAAATTGGTAAATTGGTGACTTTAAAAGTAAAAAATAAATTGCTGCTGTTAAAAAGTGTGAGATTCAAGAAAAGATACAAATGAATTTTTTTCCTTAGTGTTTAATGTAGTTTCATCTTCCTTTAAAGAATCATATTTTATAGTATGCACCAAAAGTAAAATAAATTTTTAAAAAATCATACTTTGCATATGACTGAAGTCATAAACATGAGATCCTTTGGTTTTTAGTGATTTTTAATATATGCCTTAATTCATAGGTGTTTTTATTTATAAGGACTTTGACGTATATTAGCTCATTTGTTCTTGAGATGTAAGAAAGGTCAAGAATTTGTGAAATACTGACTTTAGAAATAGGAGAATTCCATAAGAGAATTCCCTAAAATCAAAACAAGCTATTTTAAATATTCTTTACATAGCTCTTTAAATCTCTTTTTGTCTGGAGTTCTAGGGGGCTGAACTTGAGAGTAGTGTATTTGTTGTATTTGTTCTTATTTTCTTAGCCAAGTAATCTGGGAAGCCTTGGTAATACTTTTGTTTAGTTTGTTAATTAATTAACAGTATTTGTAATTATGGGTTGGAAGTTATAATAATGTAAAATTTTCACTGTGGGATTTTCAAAACCAGACCACATTTTGAAATTGATTCCTGATTGAGCTACCTTTTATGAACCCTATATTTCTTTTACTTTGATTAGAAAAGTTGTTTGGTTGTCTTTTTTTTTTTTAATGAGAATTTAGGATAGCACTTAAAGTGTACATTTTATGCAAGGAAATTATTATTTAGTGTTTATCCCTCTGTTCCTTCTTTGAGAGTAATTATCTAGAAATAAGTGAAGAAAATAGTTAAAAAGTCATATTGTCTTACAACATTTTCTGCTAGCTAGAAAGTAATTCCTGTCATCTAGCTTGTTTTATTTAGTAATTATTTAAAGTATTTCTGTATTCTTTCTTCTAAAATATAGATTGTGAAAATGAGAAAAACCATTGTACATTTGGTTTAGATTCCATCTGGGAACTACCCTCAGTAGGTGCAGACTCTAAAGCAGTAGTTTCTTTTTTAAGATGGAGTCTTACTCTGTCACCCAGGCTGGAGTGTAGTGGCATGATCTTGACTCACTGCAACCTCTGCCTCCCAGGTTCGGGTGATTCTTCTGCCTCAGCCTCCTGAGTAGCTGGGATTACAGGCACGTGCCACCATACCCAGCTAATTTGTTTGTATTTTTAGTAGAGACATGTTTTCACCATGTTGGCCAAGCTGGTCTTGAACTCCTGACCTCAAGTGATCCTCCTGCCTTGGCCTCCCAAAGTGCTGGGATTACAGGCGTGAGCTACCATGCCTGGCCTTTAAAGCAGTAGTTTCATGTAGTTGATATATACAGATCATTGCTTTTCTTGGCTTAGAGAAAAGGTAAACACTGTTTTCACGTGGTCTCTTCCGAATTCTAATAATGCAGTGCTATATGCCTGTTCATGTATTGGTTGGTGTTTACAGTTGTTTTACTTTGGTACCTTTGAATGCCATGTATTCAGTCTATTTTATAGTATGTTTTTGTAGTGTTTTCAAAAATGATTACTAAGCTTTTTTTAGGCATGTTTAATGTGTTTACAACAATTGGTATGAAGAAAACTGTACTTGAACATCTTAATTCTAAAGGGAAAGTAAAACTGTTTGAATTTTATACCCTGAAATGTAATTGTATTAAGTGAACAAATTATTTTTTCCAGGCAGACTCCAGGTTAAAAGCGCTTAATGCAACATTCAGAGTGAAAAACCCAGACAAGTAAGGTTTTGTTTTAATAACAGTTACAATGTTGTTTTGAATGGTGCCTATCAATCTATTTAATTTTTCATTTCTGAATGTATGCACTTCATTTGCTAAATATTTTACATATTCACATTTAGTGAAATTCTTTTAAAGTCTAAAATGAATTTGAAATTTGATAACTTGATTGGGTGTATGATTGAGACTGAAGTTTGGTAAAATTAAACCATTGTTTTTTTCTAGAAGGATTTATTAAGTATTTTTACAGGTATCAGAAAAATGAGAAATGTAATTTTAATTTTATAGTTTTCCTTATATGGTTTTGCCTATTAAATATGCACTGCTCAAGATAAGAAAATTATATACTTTTTACATACACTTAGTAGTGAACCATCTAGTTTGTATACCAAGAAAACTTGATAGATAAATGTATACTAGCATAATAATTTCATGAAGGCACACAACAAATACTTGATTTTATTAATATTAGTTAGTGTTTGTGAGAGCATTTCCATGTTAAAAAAGCCAGTGTATTCAGATATTACTTAACATAGGGTGGGACCTATGTATTTAAGATTTTGGTTTTGCTTACTCTTTAAATTTGTTGAATAATTTAAACTACATTATACGGGCCTTTACTTGGCAATTTGGTTGGTTAGAGGAGTTTTTTAGTTTGACATGTGCTCAGGTAGATGAGGCTCTTTTGTTTTGGAGGATCAAATTTATGAGGTCTGTTAGAATTTCTCTAGTGAATCCTTCAGCACTAATTTCTACATTTTGTAAATTCTTACCAGACAAAGGTGAGGTCTACATATTCTGATGACCTGTTATGCCTGACTTTACAAACCATAACATATTAACAATAATGCCTCTGATTTTTAATATAAATTTTGAATATAAAATATAAATGATTTTTTCAATTTTGGTAATTAGGAGTTTGTGCTGGTTAATTGATTTTTTTTTTTTTTTTTTTTTTTTTTTTAGAGAGAGAGTCTTGCTCTGTTGCCCAGGCTGGAGTGTGGCACGATCCTGGCTCACTGCCACCTCCACCTCTCAGGTTCAAGCGATTCTCGTACCTCAGCCTCCCAAATAACTGGGACTACAGACACCTACAATGCCCAGCTAGTTTTCTTATTTTAGTAGAGACAGGGTTTCGCTGTGTTAGCCAGTCTGGTCTCTAACTTCTGACATCAAGTGATCCACCCACCTTGGCCTCCCAGAGTGCTGGGATTACAGGTGTGAGTGACCATGCCCAGTCTTGTTTTTTTTATTTAAAAAGACGATTTTTTTAGAGCAGTTATAGGTTTAGTAGAGTTAGCAAAATTGAGAGGAGTATACAGAGAATTCCCATATACTGTCTCTCCACACCCCTCCCCACTGACCTGCTGCAGCCTCCCTAGCTGTCAGCATCCCACACCTGAGAGCTGTGTTTGTTACAGTTGGTGAACCTGCACTGACACAGCATTATCAGCAAAGACCATCATTTACATTAGGGTTCACTCTTGGTGTTAGGCAGATTTTGAGTTTGGACAACTGGATTAATGACATGAATCCACCATTATCGTTTCATACAGAGTAGTATTACTGTCCTAAAAGTCCTCTCTGCTGCACCTATTCATCTCTTCCCTAAAGCCCTGGCAACCACCGATCTTTTTACTATCGCCATAGTGTTTTTTGTTGTTGTTTAGAATGTCACATCATACAGTATGTGAACATTGAGACTGGCTTCTTTCACTTAATTTGCATTTAAGGTTCCATTGAAGTTGTTATAAGTATTATACTAACATGTATGGCATATAAGAGGCGTTCTCTCGATTAAAGACTAAAATTATAAATCAGTATTTTCCAGTTGAATGGAAAATATTTTGTCAATTGAATGTTTTTCTTCTTCTGACCCAGCCAGGTTTTCTGGACTGCTGAATTTTATTTACTATCCATTTGGTGTGTAGAATTTTAATATGACCAATAATGTTAACCAAGGCGGTATTTTGCCCTTATATGTTCATGTTCTTCTTCTTTTTTTTTGAGACAGTCTTACTCTGTCTCCCAGGCTGCTGTGCAGTGGCACAATCTTGTTTCACTGCAACCTCTACCTCCTGGGTTCAAGCGATTCTACTGCCTCAGCCTTCCAAGTAGTTGGAACTACAGCCACCTGCCACCATACCTGGCTAATTTTTTATATTTTCAGTAGAGATGGGGTTTCACCATGTTAGCCAGGATGGTCTTGATCTCCTGACCTCGTGATCCACCTGCCTCAGCCTCCCTAAGTGCTGGGATTATTGGCGTGAGCCATGGTGCCTGGCCAGTGTTCTTCTGAAAATTTGCAATTGCTGTATAATTAGTAATAGGATTTGTTTGTCTTAAATTCTAGATAAGTACATATATTGGTCATTGTTATATCAGATTCTTTTTTTTTTTTCTTTTTTGAGAAGGACTCTTGCTCTGTCACTCAGGCAGTGGTATAATCTCAGCTCACGGCAACCTCCGCCTCCCGGGTTCAAGTAGTTCTCCTGCCTCACCCTCCCAAATAATTGAGACTACAGGCACGCACCACCACACCTGGCTAATTTTTGTATTTTTAATAGAGACGGGGTTTTGCCATGTTGGTCAGGCTGGTCTTGAATTCCTGACCTCAGGTGATCTGCCCACCTCAGCTTCCCAAAGTGCTCGGATTACAGATGTGAGCCACCATACCTGGCCGTCAGATTCTTAATATGTAGAATCTATGTTCTAGATCTAGCTGTTCCAATAGATTATTATTTATATTATTATTAAAATAATTTGTTATTGAAATCGTTTTGTTATTTTCTAAAATTCAGAAAACCAGAAAGATTGTTTTAGAGGGATTACCAAAATGATTCTTCTAGTACTTGCTTCATTCATGTTTATCTTTCCCCAAACTAGACTATTAATAGCAGTGAGTGGGAGGACCTTCAGTCTTCTCTTTTATGTGGCCTTAGGTACTCTGCAAATGCTTTTCTTTGCATATTGGATTCCACTATAATAGTTTGGGGAAAGATAAACATGAATGAAGGGATTACCTTCATTCATGTTTATGAATGTAATCATTTTGGAATCTCTCTGAAACAATCTTTCTGGTTTTCTAAATTTTAGGAAATAACTATTTTAATAATATAAATGATTTTAGCAATAATCTATTATTCCACATATTAAGAATCTGATGACCAGCTGCGGTGGCTCACACCTGTAATCCCAGCACTTTGGGAGGCCAAGGTGGGTGGATCACCTGAGGTCAGGAGTTCAAGACCACCCTGGCCAACATGGCAAAACCCCATAAATACACACACACACACATTTTTGAGATGGGGTCTCACTGTGTTGCTTAGGCTGGTCTGGAACTGTTGGGCTCAACAATCCTCCACCTCAGCCTCACTGGAACTACAGGTGCATGCCACTGCCTGGCTTTTATATTTTTCTTAAAAGAGATATGCCCAAGGTCTATCTCCATTTATTGAGTATCTTATATTGTTTCAAATAACTAAACCCACTAAGTCAAAATCTAGGTGGTAAATTGACCAGATTATGTAAGTAGCAATATTCTTCTAAAAATCTGTCTCTAGTAGAAATAAGCAATACTAACCACTCATGTACTGTGTTACATTGCATAGTTTGTGGCCAGTTTATCTTGGCTGAAAAAATACATGTGACTTAAGTTAATTCATTTATAAAGTGATAATTTTTTTCATTTAAAAGAAAGCCAGTTAGATAATTGCGGTTATGATTTGTTCAGGTTATTCTTCGAGTTTCCAAACATCAGGTTATATCATTTTCTTATATTGAGTTTGGGTCAGGAAGTATGGATAGAGAGAAATTTGTATAGTGAGTTTTCTTTAAGGACCTCAAGGTGCATTGTATTAAGAATGTTTATAGAGGCCGGGCATGGTGGCTCATGCCTGTAATGCCAGCAATTTGGGAGCCTGAGGCTGGTGGATCATGAGGTCAGGAGTTTGAGACCAGCCTGACCAACGTGGTGAAACCCTTTTTCTACCAAAAATTAGGTGGGCGTGGTGGCACATGCCTGTATTCCCAGCTTCTCAGGAAACTGAGGCAGGAGAATCACTTGAACCTGAGAGGCGGAGGTTACAGTGAGCTGAGATCACACCACTGCACTCCAGCTTGGGTGACAGAGCGAGACTCTGTCTCAAAAAAAAAAAAATGCTTACAGATAGGGAGACAAGAGCCAAAGTGTAGAAACTAGAAGAGGAGGATGGGGAGTAGACTGTCCTTTATGATATCTAACAGTCACTTATAGTACCAGAGTTTATTTTCTTTCAGGGCTTTGTCTTAGATAATAGTTGCACAAGTTGTAAAGAAGCGTAAGACAATCTGTATGGCTTGATATGCTTTCAGTACACTAGGGTAAAGAAAACTATAGCCATATGCAAATATGAAATCTAAGGCCGGGTGTGGTGGCTCACGTCTGTAATCTCAGCACTTTGGGAGGCCAAGGTGGGTGGATCACTTGAGGCAAGGAGTTCAAGACCAGCCTGGCCAACATAGTGAAACCCTGTCTCTACTAAAACTACAAAAATTAGCCAGGCATCATGGCATGTGCCTTTAATCCCAGCTCCTTGGGGGCTAAGGCATGAGAATGACTTAAACCCAGGAGGTGGAGGCTGCAGTGAGCCGAGAGCATACCACTGCACTCCAACCTGGATGACAGAGTGAGACTCTGTCTTAAAAAAAAAGAGAGGAGAGCCATATAAAATAGATAAGTTATACCCCAAGCTGTGTTTTGCCTTTGTTGTTGTTTTTAAGACAAGATCTCGCTCTATCACCCAGGCTGGAGTGCAGTGGCATGATCTCAGCTCATTGCAACCTCGACCTCCCAGTCTCAAATAATCCTCCCACCTCAGCCTCCCAAGTAGCTGGGACTATAGGCATGCACCACCACATCTGGCTGGGTTTTTGTTTTGTTTTGTTTTTGATATGGAGTCTCACTTTCGCCCAGGCTGGAGTGCAGTCGCGTGATCTTGGCTCACTCAACCTCTGCCTCCTGAATTCAAGTAATTCTCCCTGCCTCAGTCTCCCAAGTAGCTGGGATTACAGGTGCCTGCCATCTTGCCCAGCTAATTTTTGTGTTTTTAGTAGAGACAGGATTTCACCATATTGGCCAGGTGAAATTAAAAAATTAGCTGGTTGTGGTCTTGAACTCACAACCTCAGGTTATCCGCCCATCCTGGCCGATTTTTTGTACAGACAGGGTCTTACCAGCTCAGGCTGGTCTCAAGTGATCCTCCCACCTTGGCCTCCCAAAGTGCTGGGATTACAGGTGTGAGCCACTGCACCCGCCCATGTTTTTGCCTTTGAAACTGGGGAGAAGTATTCTCAAAAAGCCTTGATGTAGGGTCTTTTCAACCTAAGTCTTGAGTGATTGGTGAGATCTGATTAGGAGAGGCACCTGTCCAGGCTTACTTACTAAAAGTATGTTAAAGAATATGGAGAATAAAGCAGGGCATGGCAACTCATACCTGTAATCCCAGCACTTTGGGAGGCCAAAGTGGGAAGATCACTTGAGGTCAGGAGTTTGAGACCAGCCTGACCAACATGATGAAACCCCTTCTCTACTAAAAATACAAAAATTAACCAGGTGTGGTGGCGCATGCCTGTAATACCATCTGCTCAGAAGGCTGACATGGGAGAATCACTTGAACCCAGGAGGCAGAGGTTGCAGTGAGCAACTCTGAGATGGTGCCACTATACTCCAGGCAGGGCAACAGAGCTAGACCCCATCTCAAAAAAAAAAAAAAAAAAAAAAAAAGAATATGGAAAATAAAGGAAAGCATCAAGCCTGTAATGGCAATAGGTGTATTTTGAGGAGAATAGAAAATATGGCTGATTCAGACCTTAGGATATATTGGGTTTGGATATAGACAGCCTCAAACTACAGTCATATCAGAGTCTGAATTTACATGTTCAGGTTTGAATGCCTCCAAAACAGAGATTATAGATATTTAGTATTTCAGGAGGGGAGTTTTATGCCACCATCTTTCTAATATGGACTGCCTTTTTAAACTCTCTGCTTTCAAGTGAAACTGCATCTTGACATTATATATATATGATTTTTAGTCTTCTCTAAGAACACCTAATCATTTATGATAAGATTCCTCATTTTAATATGTAGACATTCTAGATTTTGACTTGTGCTAAGAAGTTATACCCTCATTTTCAGAAAATTCATTCCTTTATTTCTTAAACATACATTGTTTACTAAAATTTAGTGAATTTTTTGCTCTTCACCTTTAGATCTTGTGATTTTTTTTTTTTTAAGGTGCACATCTGTCTCTGTCTCCTAGGTGTTTAGAATCTTTTAGCCCTGACTTTCTGGTGATGTCATCACCTGGGGATGATTTCCGTGTTGTCACCCCTCTTCCCCCACGAGAGATTGTGCCACTCGATTAATCAAACAGAGAAACTATAGTGTGCCTTATATGTTTTGCGACCAAAAGTGTTAGGACCTTTTAACTCCGGAAACCTCTGCTTCACCTAATTTAAGTGTTCTGAGGCTTACTGTTTATATTCTTATACATTTCTTATATCCAAATATGACAGCTAAGAATTTTTTAGTCATGCCAGATCCAGAGTGTGGAAGCTGACAAACGTTTTTAGGGGATCTAATCAGTTCTGGAGAAGCTCCAGAAGACCTGATCTTTCAGGATTTCTGTTCCTGCGACCCAGCACAAGAAGATCTGATCAAAGAGTTTAACAAAGTATTAGCCTCTTGAAACTCAAATTCAAATCATAAAACTTCTAAGGGAAAATTCTGCCAGCTCAGTTGTAACTGGCTCTACATAAAGAAAGCAGCTCACATTATCTAAGATTTTATATAAATATATATATATATATATATTTAATTTTATTTAAATAAAAATGTCTTGGAATATATAATATATTCTTTTGGTTAACCAAATATATATGTAGATTGATAGGTATGGAAAAGTTCTATAGTTGAAAAGTCTCACTCCTATCCCCATCTGTCCATTTCCCCTCCCCAGAGATTAACACCTTGTTAGGTTTTAGGTTTATATTCCTTCAGAGTTTTACCCTACAAATGCAAATGAGATCCAAGAGTACATTTTCCACCTTCCAACTTGGATATAAAAAGGGAGATTAATTGGGAGTCAATCTTGCCAGCTCTTTTATCTCTGAATTATTTTCCTTGCTGAAAAACACCGCCTTGGGAGAGTAAGAGTGGTTAAATATTTTGTCTAAGGATTTTATGTCCTCAACCTCACCACTGGCTCTTTATTTAAATGAACCACAGGTCTGTGAAAAGTTTTTTAAGCCACATTACAGAATTTGGACTTGGTCTCAGGATCAGTGGATAACCTTTGCAGCAGAAAGCTGCTTAAAAGCAAGGAGGTGAAACAGATTTGGACTTTGAAAGATCATCTAAGCAGAATGGACAGTAGGTTAGAGAAGTGTGGGAGTGGGCTAGGAGGCCAGTCAGGAGGACTGGTGAGAAATGATGATGCTAATCTGAATTTAAGGCATTGGCAGAGAGGCCAGAGAAAAGTGAATTGATTGGGGCAGTGTTTAGGAGGTATAGTCAACAGACTAGGCAATTAGTGGAATGTATGGGGTGAAGGAGAGGAGAAGGAAATACAGATGTCACTCAGGTTTCATTCTTTAGAATGCAAAGGAGCACAAGGGAAAGAGATTTTGAGGAGTAGTGGAAGGTAGGTTGACCTTTGGCTATGTAAGCAAGTACAAATGTCTGTCTCAGCTATTTGGGAGGCTGAGGCAGGTGGATCTAGAGCTGCAGTGAGCTTGGGTGACAGAGTGCCCTGCCTCTAAAAAAAAGAAGAAGGAAAGAAAAATAAAGTGTAACTTGAGGATTACCAGCATGTGACCTGTGGATGAGCTATAAAACTCGGATTCCTGAGTGCCACGAGGACCTTGGTTTATTCACATCCTTCTGAGAGACCATCAGTAGTGTTTTTAAGGAACATTTCAGGAATGTTTTGCACACTGCTGTTGGAGATGTAAGATATGGGTGAAGGAAGTGAGTACTACAAAAGAAACTTCAGGAGTGACCAGAGTAAAATAAGAGGAAAGCCATGAGAAAATAACACTGGCAAGGAAACAGATTTTTGAAAAGGAGGGTGATGTTAGCTGTTGCATTGCCAAGAGGATCAAGTAAGAGAACTAAAATGGATCATTGGATATTATAATATGAAAATAGTTGGTGACTTTGAGGTCAAAGTCCCCTTGTCTGTCCTTGCAGGGACAATATTTCCCTACTATATGATACTGGAGGCAGAACCTAGATCTAATAGGTTGTTCAGTGAATGGGAATGGAAGAAGTGGTTATTGCTGAGGAAGTGATGCCTTGTGAAAGCCTGGCTATAAAGGGGGTAGATATTGACAGGGTGTTAAGAATTGGTTGTGTTGTCAAGGGAATGTGCATTTTAATCTAAGGGAGACCTGAGTTAATTGACATTCTAGTTAGAAGAAGCTTATAGAGATGGGAAGTTAGGAAATAGGAATACAGGGTGTAGCTGGAATGGAATCTAGAGCGTTCGATGGGAAGGAATCCAAGAGGAAGGGAAAAAATGATGTAGATAAGGGAAAGTATGTAAGTTGCTGACAGGAGGTAAAGGTGGGGGTCATTCCCATCTGATGACTTTGGTTTATCTGTGCAGCTTTGTTTTTGGATAATGACAGGTGGTACATCAGAAACTTTCGGTCTTTATGTAAATGGCAGTTATTAGATGAGGGAAGCACATTCCTCGAGCAGAATTAAGATTGAGGTTAGAGACAGTGAGTTTATGGTTACACTATAACATAACTTTTAGCTCCTCAAATTTTTTCCTGTTTTTTATTTCCAAAGTAAGTTTTCATACCAACAGATTTTTTTCTCTATCTCAGTTCCACGATATAAATTATGGAGTGTGATATCTTGACTTTCAAAACATCGAAAGAAAGTATCATTTTAGAGTTTTCTAGATTTATATTAGTAGGTAAATGTTTAAGACCAGCATATGGTTAAATAGAATCAGTTTTGTTTTGTGATTCTTGGAAACTACTGTTTTTTCTTTCAGTTGTTGACTGCTTGTTTTCATTTGAAAAACGATGTTTTATTTTTTTCCTGTTTCAGGAGATTTACTGACCTTAAGCACTACAGTGATGAACTACAGTCTGTCATCTCACATCTTCTTCGAGTCAGAGCTGTAAGTGATCCCCAAAAGCTTTTTAATGCACATTTATAAGGAAGTACTTCTCATTTAATCATTACGTTTTTTAGTAATAGGTGGTATTTATTACAAGTAAAACTGATTTTTGCATTTGAATTTCATATGTTCATCATCCAAACTGTATTTTTTTAAAAAATGTGAAATGATTTCTGTTATAAACAACTCAAGAGAATTTTTTGTAATAGATTAGTAGTTTTGGATGTTGTCAAAAGGCCTGCCATTTCAGTGATGGAATGTAAATAAGTTTAGGATTTTAGATCTGCATATCTTATTCTTTCAGTTTTTTTTAAAAAGGTCTGTGAAGTAGTTTCTAGATGTTAGGCCATCCTATATCTGTGCTCTTAAATTCTACCAAATAAACTAATGTAGGATAATAGTCTGCCTTACTAGAAATCAAGGAATAATAATTATACTTAACCATATAAGTCTGGCTGTAATAGCCGTGGAGGAAAATACTTTTCAGTAAATTAATGTACCTGGAAAATGTACCATCCATTCTGGTCCCTTGTGGTAACCTAGAACGAACCCTAGAACATGCCTGTGCCAAAGGCTTTGAAAGAGACTGAGTTAACAGGTAGGGTCACATTTTATGCTGATGGCATCTGGAATCCTCTTTTTTTTTTTTTTTTTTTTTTGAGATGGAGTCTCACCCCGTCACCCAGGCTGCAGTGCAGTAGCATAAACTCAGCTCACTGCAACCTCTGCCTCCTGGGTAGCTGGGATTACCAGTGTGCACCACCATGCACGGCTAATTTATATATTTTTAGTAGAGATGGGGTTTCACCATGTTAACCAGGCTGGTCTCAAACTCCTGGCTTCAAGTGATCTACCCACCTTGGCCTCCCAAAGGGCTGGGGTTACAGGCATGAGCCATTGCACCTGGCTGGAATCCTCTTTAAATGAAATATATTGTCTGGATTTTTTTTTTTTTTTTTTTTTTTTTTTTTTTTTTTGAGACAGCGTCTAACTCTGTTGCCCAGGCTGGAGTGCAGTGGCGTGATCTCAGCTCACTGCAGCCTTCACCTCCCAGGTTCAAGTGATTCTCCTGCCTCAGCCTCCCAAGTAGCTAGGATTATAGGTGTGCACCACCACATCCAGCTAATTTTTGTATTTTTGATAGAGACGGGGTTTCACCATGTTGGCCAGGCTGGTCTTGAGCTACTGACCCTCATGATCTACCTGCCTCAGCCTCCCAAAGTTCTGGGATTACAGGGGTGAACACCCGCATCTGGCTGGAATTTTTTTTAATAAGAGTCCACTGATGAGCAATGGAGCATGGGGGCAGTTTTAGGTGAAACAAGATTGGCCATATAATAATTATTGAAGCTGGGTGTTGGGAAATAGAGGTATACCCTTCTGTTCTTTATTCGTGTTTTTTGTTTTGTTTTGTTTTGTTTGAGATGGCGTCTCACTCTGTTGCCAGGCTGGAGTACAGTGGTGTGATCTCAGCTCACTGCAACCTCTGCCTCCCAAGAAGCAATTCTCCTGCCTCAGCCTCCTGAGTAGTTGGGAATATAGGCATGTGCCACCATGCCCAGCTAATTTTTGTATTTTTAGTAGAGACGAGATTTCACCTTGTTGGCCAGGATGGTCTCGATCTCTTGACCTCATGATCCGCCTGCCTCGGCCTCCCAAAGTGCTGGGATTACAGGTGTGAGCCACCATTACTGGCCTGTGCTTTTTGTATGTTTCAGGATTTCCATGATAGTACAGAAAAAAATAGAATAAAAGAAAAAATTCTTCTGAAGATCTTTTTTTGAGACAGAATTTTGCTTTTGTTGCCCAGGCTGGAGTGCAACGGCACAATCTCGGCACACCGCAACCTCTGCCTCCCGGGTTCAAGCAATTCTCCTGCCTCAGCCTCCCGAGTAGCTGGGATTACAGGCGTGTGCTACCATGTCCGGCTAATTTTATATTTTTAGTAGAAACGCGGTTTCTCCGTGTTGGTCAGACTGGTCTCAAACTCCCGACCTCAGGTGATCCGCCCGCCTCAGCCTCCCAAAGTGCTGGCATTATAGGCGTGAACCACCATGCCCGGCCTCTGAAGATCTTATATTGTCTCGATCTGCAGTTTAACTGTTCAGAGTATCATTGGACTCTGAATAAATTACAAGATACCTTCATAAAAGAAAAGGTACCAATGAGAATTACTAGGCTAGAGGCAAGAACTGGGTATTAGAAAGGTCTGTGGATTAATGAGATACAATTTCTAAACCTTTGGTTGCCTTGAAATTACCCAGACAAATTAGGGTACAACATTCAGAGGATCTGCATTGTACACTCACATTGCTTCTAGTTTTTTTTTTTCTTAAGTGTTTTTTCAGCAAGTTCTCTTCCTCTCTTCCATGCTTAATATCTTAGTAGATGATGAATGCTCAGCTTTTAGGAAGGAGGTTTGGTATCTAAAAACTACAGAGACCTAGAAAATTAGTGGTCTAGAATAACATTTTCCATCATGTATTCTTTGGAATGCTAACTCTGTAAGATGTTCCCTACTGCAAACCATATCTCCCTTGAGCAGTCATGATTCATATGTGGTGCTGGAGGTCTAAAGTCCTGCAGGAAAAAACCTGTTAAATTTTATTATCTCAGTGTTTCCCAACCTTACTTGATGATGGAACCACTTAAAAAAAAAAAAGAAAAGAAAAACATTGAACACTGCACAGAATGTTCAAAAAATATTTGGGAGCCAGGCACAGTGGCTCACACCTGTAATTCCAGCACTTTGGGAGGCCAAGGCAGACAGATCACTTGAGGTCAAGAGTTCGAGACCAGCCTGGCCAACATGGTGAAACCCTGTCTCTACTAAAAATATAAAAACTAGCTGGGCATAGTGGCGCACGCCTTTAATCCCAGCTACTCTGGGGGCTGAAATGGGATAATTGCTTGAACCCAGGACGCAGGGGTAGCTGAGATCATGCCACTGCACTCCAGCATGGGAGACAGAGTGACACTCCATCTTAAAATAAGAAGGAGGAAGTGACATCCTAGAGAAATTAGTTTAGAGGTCTGGAGACAACCAGTAAGAGTTTCAAGTAGAAATGACTGTGAGCTTTGTCCTGAAAGCTGATTCTAGTGCAGGGGCCAGTACTTTTTTCTAAAGGCTAGATAGGAAGGAGGTGTTTTCAGCTTGGTTGGCTTTATGGTTTCTGTTGCATCTATTCAGCTCCACTGTGAGCCTGGCTGTGCTCCAGTGAGACTCTATTTACAAAACAAGCGGCAGACCTGTGTTGTGCAGACCCGTGGTCTAGTGGATATGTGTTTCCTCAGAGCAGGCCAATGATAGATGGAAAACATTTTATGATCCTCATACACCTGCTTGAAGTATCTGCATTGGCCATTCTGTCACTGTCAGGTGAGATCTTGAAAGGGTTGATTTGTTCTATCATGAATGCCTAATTCCTCATACTTGTGTTTGAGTAAGGAATCAGGGAGATAATTTTATCCTTAGAGCTTATATTTAGAAACTGTATACAAGAGCTTTTTCTAGAGCTTTTTGTAGGATGAGTTTTTGGTCTTCCAGTTTGTATTCATAATGCTTCGGGGGAATGTAAAGCAAATTAATTACCATATTGAGGTTTTGTTTTAACTTGTAAAATTTCTGTGAATAGCTAGGCAGTACACATTTAATTTGCAATACACATTTCATTTCAGTGATGTAAACTGTAATTCTGTTGTTACTAAAATAATGTGTTGATTAGAAGGAGTTATCTTTTGACAAAGTAGCCTAGTGGTGCATGTATTTAGCATTTATATATAAAACTATATCTCAATAAAATTAAAAATGTTTGTATCCCTTCCCTTGGTTAATTCCACTTTGGGGATTTTATTATAAGGAAACAATTTGAAGGAAAAAACCTTATTCTCAGGGATAACTTTTTATAATACTGAAAAATTAGGAATAACTAAATTCCAACAAGATTATTCAACAAGGAATGCTTGTATATTTTATACACTGCTTAGTGGAATTTTATGCAACTATTTATAGTGGTATTTATTAAAGGTAATAACCTCATGGGTAAGCATATTACCACTCATGCTATAAGCAATTAAAAAATAGTAATTAAAAACTTTACCTAAAAAGGAGTACAAAAGTACAAGATACGATAAATGTGGCAAGAGCACTGGTTTTAGTTTTGGGAGGATGGGATTTTTGGAGATTACCATTTTTATTTTTTGTTTCCAAATTTATTGTATTAAGGATGGTTTTGGGTTTTGGGTTTTTTTTGTTTGTTTTTTGTTTTTTGGGGGAGGGGGTGAGGATATAACTTTGACCTAAAAGCAATTTCTATTAAATATTTATTTCAGAGAGTAGCAGATCGACTCTATGGTGTATATAAAGTACATGGGAATTATGGACGAGTTTTCAGGTAAGCATCATACAAACTTTAAAAATAAATAATTATCTTTAATTAGCTTTTTGCCCAAAAACAATAATTCTTGAAAATTTATGAGTCTGGAGAGAAGATTATGTTTTGTTTGTTTGTTTTTGTTTTTGAGACAGAGTCTCTCACTTTTCACCCAGGGTGATGGAATGGTGCAGTCTTGGCTCACTCAACCTCTGCCCCCCAGCTCAAGCGATTTTTCTGCCTCAGCCTTCTAAGTAGCTGGGATTACAGACATGCGCCACCACACCTGGTTAATTTTGTATTTTTAGTAGAGATGGGGGTTTCACCATATTGATCAGGCTGGTCTCAAACCCCTAAACTCAGGTGATCTGCCTGCCTTGGCATTCAAAGTGCTGAGATTATAGGCGTGAGCCACTGTGCCTGGCATGAGAAGACTATTTCTTTAAAATAATGTCCTACAGTAGTGGTTTTCAAGGCGTTCATTTTAAAGCCTTTCTTTAAATAAAAATTAGTGAGGATTTTCAATATGTTGATCGATAAAAAGTATAAACTACTCTGATTGAAGCAGCGGTTGGGGCCTTTGGCTTTCTTGGCAGAATGCCTAAGAATATTCCGTTGGAAATTACTGGATTACAGAATTAGTGATTTTCCCTTTCTTTCTGTCATTTTCTCTTTCTTTCTTTCTGTCATTTTATAATTTACAAAAGCTTTTGCAGAGTGAGTTTTTCAGTCTTAGGATAACATTAGTGATAATTAGAATATTTGTTTGTATGACTTGCATATTTTGGTTATTATTGAACCATTTTTCTTTTGCGAATTTCCATATGTGTTCATTATTTTGGTTATGACATTTTAGAAGTTATTATCTAGATCTTTTTATAAGAAAAATATCCTTGCAAATGTTCCAGGTTCTTTTGATTAATTTAAAATATGGCTTATTTTATATTTTTGATTGGATCATACATTCAAGTAGGACAAAATTCAAAAGGAATAAAAGCTTATACAGTGAAAGGTCTCAGACAGGTGTGGTGGCTCATGCTTGTAATCCCAGGACTTTGGGAAGCCACAGCAGGAGGATGACTTGAGGCCAGGAGTTCAAGACCAACTTGGGCAACATAGTGAGTCCCCATCTATACCAAAAATTTTAAAACTTAACCGGGTGTGGTGGCATGCATCTGTGGTCCCAGAAGGCTGAGTTGGGAGGATCACTTGAGCTCAGGAGGTTGAGGCCACAGTGAACAGTGATTGTGCCACCATACTCCAGCCTGGGCAACAGCATGAGACCCTGTCTCAAAAAAAAAAAGAAAAGTCTCCTCATCTCTGTCTGCCACCTATTCTGGTCTTCTACTCTGACGTAATTATCACTTTCTTAATTTCTTATATCCTTCTAGTAAAAAGTAGCACCATAATGAAACACATTAACATATAAACAAATGCATTTTCCTTTCTTAAAAGTGAAAGGGGAGGCCAGGTATAGGGACTCACACCTATAATCCCAACAGGCATGAGAGGTTGGGTGGGCAGATTACTTGAGTCCAGAAGTTTGAGACCAGCCTAGGCAACATGACGAAACTCCATCTCTACAAACAATACAAAAATTAGCTGGGCATGGTAGCACATGCCTGTGATTTCAGCTACTTGGGAGGCTGAGGTAGGAGAATCACTTGAGCCCAGTGAGGTTGAAACACCCCAGGCGGGATGACAGAGTGAGACTGTCTCAGAAAGAAAGAGGGAGAGACATTGTATACATTACATTGTTCATTTGCTTTACCTTGCTTCCCTACCCCCTCCCCACCCTTTCTTTTTTTTTTAAAAGATCCTCCTGCCTCAGCCTCCCAAAGTGCTGGGATTACAAGCATGAGTCACCACACCTTGCCTTTCCTACTTTGTTTATTGTGTGTTTTGAGACAGACTCTTACTCTTTTACCGAGGCTAGAGTATGGTGGTGCAGTCTCAGCTCACTGCAACCTCTGCCTCCCGGTTCAGGCGATTCTCCTGCCTCAGCCTACAGGTACATGCCATCACAGCCAGCTAATTTTTGTATTTTTAGTAAAGACAGGATTTCACCATGTTGGCCAGGCTGCTCTTGAACTCTTGACCCCAAGTGATCCACCTGCCTTGGCCTCCCAAAGTGCTAGGATTTCAAATGTGAGCCACTACACTTGGCCCAGTTTGGTTTTGTTAAGACAGGGTCTCACTTTGTCACCAAGCTGGAGTCTGGTGGCATGATCTTAGCTCACTGCAACCTCTGCCTCTCAAGCTATATTGATCCTCCTGCCTCAAGCCCTCAAGCAGCTGTGACTATAGATACACACCAACATGCCCTGCTAAATTTTGTATTTTTTTGTAGAGATGGGGCTTCACCATGTTGCCTATGCTGATCTCGAACTCCTGAGCTCACGTGATCTGTTGCTTCTGTAGTGCTAGGATTACAGGCGTGAACCACTGCACCTGACCCCCTACTTTGGATTATTAAAAAATTTTCTCGGCCAGACACAGTGGCTCATGCCCATAATCCCAGCACTTTGGGAAGCCAAGGTAGGCATTCACCTGAGGTCAGAAGTTGGATACCAGCCTGGCCAACATGGTGAAACCCCATCTCTACTAAAAATACAAAAATTAGCCAGGCATGGAGATGGGCTCCTGTAATCCCAGCTACTCAGGAGACTGAGGTGGGAGAATCGCTGGAACCCAGGAGATGAAGGTTGCAGTGAGCTGAGATGTGCTAGCATACTCCAGCCTGGACAGTAGAGGGAGAGTCTGTCTCAAAAAATTTTTAAAAAATTTTGCTCAGGAGGGTTCTAGGTGGAGGAAAAAAATTCTCACTTCTACATTTTGTGGTTTCATAAATTTTTGATTCATCTGGAATCTATTTAAATGTAAGATGTGAGATAGAGATTTAAATTTAATTCATTTATTAGAGTAGAAGGTTATCTGTATATCTTTGGTTCATTAATACATTAAAATTAAATGCAGGTTGAGACAGATCAGGGTTATATGACTTTTGAATTAAGAGAAGTTTATTGATATTATAAAAATGTGAACTCTTCGTATCTAGGACTAGGAATATATGAAAATATTTGGTTAAACATTGAAGAATAGTATAATGGGAAGAAAGACAAATAGTATTCTATTTTTTGAAGTCTACCTCATGCTGTCTGACGTAACATTAATTGCTTTTAGATTTATGCACGAGTCATCTCTGATTTTTAGTATTACTCAAACTGGAACCCAATTAAGCTTGAGAACAGTGCTTATTTAAAAACAAAAATTATATCCCATTGGAGACATGGGGGGAAAGTTAATGTAAAGCAAACATTCTCAAAGGTAGCACATTTATTATAGTTAATAGTAAATGAACTTGTTTTTATTAATTTGAGAGGCAGGTGGACAAAAGATCGATTGGTTGAATCAAACTTTAAAGAAAATTATTTGCATTAATGTCACATGATAAATATTGTATTGCTAAATATTGTATAGGTTCTTTTTTTTTTTTTTTTTTGATAGCTTAATATATTTTTAGAAAACCGCTTTGCATTTAAAACATTTCATGAGGCTGGGTGTGGTGGCTCATGCCTGTAATCCCAGCACTTTGGGAGGCCAAGGCAGGAGGATCTCTTGAGGCCACGAGTTCAAGACAAGCTGTTGGGCAACATAGCAAGACCCCATCTCTACAAAAATAATTTAAAAATTAGTCAGGCTTGGTGGTACATTCCTGTGGTCCTAGCTGCTTGGGAGGCTAAGATGGGAGGATCACTTGAGCCCAGGTCTTCGAGGTTATAGCAAGCTGTGATCACACCACTGTACTCCAGCCTACGTGACAGAGCAACACTCTATCTCTCAGAAAAATAAAAACAAAAATAGTTAAATAAATAAAAACATTTCATGAAAACTGAGCCAGAGAGACCAGAGGTGGTTGAGGTCATTTAATCAAGACCTAAACTAGAGCAGTTGCCAGTGAAGAATAGGGAGGCCTAAATGATAGACTTACCAATGGATTTTTTTCAGTCATTCATCACACAGTAACTGAGCACCTGTTACCATAGTAGGTGCTAAGAATACCAAGATTTAATTTGAGGGCAGTTGAGTGCCTAGGAGAATTGTGTTAGAAAATGTAGGTGGAATGGTGGGTTTGAGGTTTGAGTTAAAGGGTTCAGTTGTAGATAAATTGCATTCTAACTAAAGATTTCTATTAAGCAGTTAGAAATTTGGATTAGGAATTTAAGAAGCTAGTAAGAATATGAGTTGTATATGCAAGGTGTGTCGTTACAGAGTGATTTTTTTAAAAGTAGGGTTAGGTGATAATATTAGAGGGTTAGAGCAAGTCCACAAGAGACCCAAGGGCCACGTCTTAGCGAATACCTGCATTCAGGGATCAAGAAATTGATGAGGAACCAGAAGTATGCAAAGTCAAGCAAGTGAAGGGAACATTTCAGTAAGGCTTGGAGTTATACTGTAGAGAAACTGAGTTTAGGCTGGGCATGGTGGCTGACACCTTTAATCCCAGCACTTTGGGAGGCCGAGGTGGGCAGATCACTTGAGGTCAGGAGTGCAACACCAGCCTGACCAACATGGTGAAACCTCGTCTCTACTAAAAATACAAAAATTAGCCAGGTGAGGTAGCATGTGCCTGTAATTCCAGCTACTTGGGAGGCTGAGGCAGGAGAATCACTTGAACCTGGGAGGCGGAGGTTGCAGTGAGCCGAGATTGTGCCGTTGTACTACAGCCTGGGTGACAAAGTGAGACTCCATCTCAAGAAAGAGAGAGAGAGGGAAATTGAGTTTAGATGAGAAAGGGGAAAATGGGTAAGTACATCTTTGGTGTGAATTTGGAAAGCAATTTCAGTGTTATGATGCTATGGCCTAGTGATCCTAGGAATAAGAGGAAAGGATTAAGGAAGGAAAGACAAGTTATTGATTAGTCTTTTAAGTAAATCCTTACTCATGGATGTGAAGATGGCAACAGTAGACACTGGGAACTACTAGAGCAGGGAGGGAGGGAGGGGACAAGGATTGAGAAACTAACTGTTGGGCACTGTGCTCACTATGGGGTGATGGGCTCATTTGTATCCAAAATCTCAGAACTACCCAGTGTATACATGTAACAGACCTGCACATGTACATGTACTTCCTGAGTCTAAAATAAAAGTTGAAATTATTTAAAAAAAGAAAAAAGTCCCTGAGGAGAAAGATGAACTGTGGTTATTTTTGAAGGGGAATAGGACTTTTTTAGGGGGAAGCTGGGACTGAGGTGGGATAGTGGGCAGGGGAGGGATAGGAGCATGGAAGAGGGAGAAGATAGGGAAGGTGCAGAGCTGTCTTAAAGCAGGGAAGAGGTGAATTGTAGAAGGCTCCCTGAAGTAGGTGTCTTTTTGAGAACAAGTTTGCATAATTGTGTGGTTGTGAGGATTGAGGGGAATGACATGGGGCAGTCAGTCTCAAACAGTGCAGAGAATTCTCTTTTAGGGGGATGGAAAGAGGGGCGCTGATAATACCTAAATTTGTCCGACTGCAAAACCTCCTTTACCTCCCTTCACCAATTCACAGGGCATTGGCAGCTGTACCAAGTGCAGGAACTCTCTGAAGGCTTGCGTTTTGTCAGTTCATGCAAAATCTATATTGTATTTTATATAATGTCCACAGATACTTTAATATTTATTTTTTTAAGTTTATTTTTCCCCTCTAATGTTTAAGTAAAATTTATTCTTCAGAAAGTGTGTGCCATATCTATCATATGGCTTCTAATATTAATGATGAAAACATCCCAACTTGAGAAGCAATGATGAAGGCATCACTTAGGAATGTGGAAAGGATTGCCTAGCAGCACCTGTTTGTGGGAGATGATGGTTTTTATCTTTTCAGCGCTGCTGACCTATAAGGGTAATGAAAAAATTCAAAAGTGTGGGGGTCACATAATTGGAAAAAAAACTTAATTTGTTCTTTGATTTGCAGTTTGAGAAGGGAAGAAATACAAAGCTGGTTTTTATCAGCTTTGTTTCTTCATTGAAATTTTTTCAATATATTCCTCAAGTAATTTTTGTAAAATTATGACTTGTTAAATTGGAGGTTGGAGCAAGAGAATGGACTTAGAAAAAAGACTGAGCTATGAGTAGAAGAGACAAATGGTATATAAGTGAGAAACGAGCAGCAATTAGTCTCACAGAAAAAAAAAAGGAAGATTTTGTAGTATGTTCATGGTGCTGCTAATGCATGTTTGTTTTGTTTGTTTGTTCATTTAAGTAGGGGAGTTTATTTTGTGCTCTTATATCCCTAGGCCTTTTTCAGCCTCCTTCCCCCATTACAGCAGCTGACCCAATTTAGGATAAGCCTAAAAAAGGTCTGTTCCCTATAGGGACTTATAGGACTAGTTTCATACTCAGATACAACTTTCAGACCCACCTAAATACATAGGTGGGGTTCCCTCTACAGAAGACTTAGAGAAGGGGGGAAAGAGTTTTAGTAACAATAACTATGCATTTAAAGCTGATGAAAGCAGTCAGAAGCTAATAGCCTAAAATGCTGTGTTCTGTTAAATCGAACATTTTAAAATATTCCTCTTAATTCTTAGGTTGTGAATCCTTATGGAAGCAACCAAAAGTAACTGTCTCTCCCAGATTCAGTGTTACAGTTCCTTTCAAGAGATTCCAGGAAAATATACCAACAAATTTCTTTCAAAAAACTATGTGCAAAGGCATACCAACTTGTTATGTACCTCAAAGCTCAAAGACACAAAGATGTACTTCTGTTTAATGATTCTATACTTTTAATTTTTTAGTTACTTGCATGGTAAGTGGGGTGAAAGGCTCTTTTGACTAAGAGAACAAAAAAAGTTAAGTGTCTTAAGTTGGGACTAGTAGATAGAGGACTCTGCTGATGGTTGATTTTAGGCTCAGCTCTGTCTCTGACGAGCTGCCTGACTTTGAGTAAATCATGTTAGGTTTCTGGGCGTGACTGTCTATTCAATTGTGGGGATAGATGAGGACATTGATTTTCAAACCTTTTTTTAGCATGGAACTCTTATGTTTAAACGAAGTCTCATACAGAAATGTAAACAGAGAGAACCTATTTCCACAGTCCTGTTTGGGGCTGGAGACTTTATCCTTGATGAACACCAGATTGGGTGACTAAATTTAGCTCTAAACCTTTATTTTTGTTGTAATTAATAATGTTTTTCATTCCTGTCCAAAATCGTGACTCTCAGGCATTCCTGGACTCTTTTCCTTTTTTTTCTTTCATGGAGCTATAAAATACTAGAGCAGGAGGGGCCCTGGTGGTTTTTTAGTTCGAGTTCTAGATCCAAGAGGTGATGATGGACTTCAGATTGTCTGAAGTCTCTGAAATTGTATACAAAATTGTGTGTAGTTTTCTTTTTTAACTTTTTAGGGAAAAGATACATAATTTTTACCTATACTAAGACTATAATACTATTTTACTTTTTGCGATATGTTGGAACTGAAGATGTTTATTATACATTCTTTAAATAGCAGAAAAATTGGAAACAACCTTTATAGCCAGGAAAATGGTTAGAAAAAAGGTGACTTGCCATTGAAAATGATGTTTAGAACAAATTATTTAATAGTATGGGAAAATACTATTAAAAACAGCATGATATAAACTTGCATATACGATATTATCTCAGCCACTTTAAATTATGGAAATAAAAAGACTAGAAGGAGGTGTATCCAATTATGTTATCCCTTGGCATTTGGGATTATAGATTTGTTTTCTCAGTTTACTTTAATAAGCATATTTAACTTACGTAAAAAGATTTTTAATGTGATGCATTTCACAGACATGACAACAAAATGATCTGTGGCTCTAGCAGCTTTCTTGTGTAATATGCATATTATTATTAAAACTACTCTGCACCTACTGTTTCTATACAGTTGTATTTTTTTCTGTTAGCTGCTACAACAGTAATCAGTGTGTTCATCAGAGCCATACATGGAGTGTTTTAAAAATGTGCATGTCTCCCTCTACCCGATGGTTTCTGATCAAGTAAAGAGTAGGGTTAGCATCCATATTTTTTAAAAGCTTTACAAATGATTTAAATCAGCCTCCTAACTGAGAATGTTATAATGTTGTAAGCAGAAGCTGTTTTGTATGATACTTACCTTATACTTAGCAGCAAGTATCAACTTTTGAAGCCTTCACTTACATTTAGTTGTTAAACCTAAGGGGAAAACAGCATATTTGAGTTATAGGAAATAAACCCAAATATGGGTACTATACATTCTTTTAAAGCTAGCTAGACAAGAATTTTGAAGAGTCCATTTAATACTATTCCGTATCTCTAATGCATGTTGCTTTTGGTTTTATCTTGTACTCCCTAGTGAATGGAGTGCCATAGAAAAAGAAATGGGTGATGGACTGCAGAGTGCTGGTCATCATATGGATGTGTAAGTACCTAGGGAACTTAATGTGAAGCCTGAGGTGAAGTCCTGTAGTGGAGTGTTAGGGGCTCTTCTGTTCTGTTTTTATCAAGTTTGCTGGCATTTATATTGTATTCTATGTGTACATATCTTACTTAAATTTATCTCAGGAATGCAAAGTTGGTTTCAAATTTGAAAATCAATCTAATTCATATTTTAAGAGAATGAAGATGAAAACTTAGAATGTATGTTCATTTCAATATATACAGAAAAAGCATTTGACAAATTTTAACACCTGTTTACAGTAAAAAGTCTCATCAACTAGGAATAAAAGGGAATTTTCTCAGTCTAAAATTTATAGTTATAATATTATTATAATATTATAATATTGTACTTAATAGTGAAATATTGAAGCTTTCTATTAAGGTCAAGAAAAAGGCAAAGCTGTTTGCTCTCACTGCTTTAGTAAACTTTGTACTGGAGGTCCTACTCAGTATAGTTAGGCAAGAAAATTAAGAGGCCTAAATACTAGAAAGAAGCAAAAGTATATTCTCAGTTGACAAGATCTTTCACACAGAAAACCATAAGCAATCAACCAAAAACACTGTAGAGCTAACAACTGATTTTTTTTTTTTTTAAGAGACTAGGTCTCACTCTGTTGGCCAGGCTGGAATGTATTGGTACAATCACAGCTTACTGCAGCTTCAACCTCCTGGGCTCAAGCAAGCCTCCACCTCAGCCTTTCAAGTAGCTTGGACTACAGGTGATTGCCACCATGCCCGGCTAATTATTTTTATTTTTTGGAGAGACAGAGTGTTGCTATGTTGCCCAGGTCAATCTTGGACTCCTGGCCTCAAGCAGTCCTCCTGCCTTGGCCTCCCAAAGTACTGGGATTACAGGCATGAGCCACTGTTCCCAGATTGAATTTAAAAATTTTTTTCTTTTTTCAGAGACGTGGTCTTGCTGTGTGTCTCAGCCTGGTCTCAAACTTCTGGCTTCAAGTGATTCTCCTATCTCAACCTCCCAAAGTGCCCTGGGATTAGTGGTGTGAGTCACCACACCTGGCCAACAACTGAATTAATTTTATTTTTTCCAACTTTTATTATAGGTTCAGGAGGTACATGTGCAGGTTTGTAAATTGTGTGACATGGGGGTTTGGTGTACAGATCATTTAATCACCCAGTAAGCTTAGTACCCTAGAGGTGTACTAATCAAAACAGAGGTTGCTATTAAAAATTAGTATACGCCAGGCATGGTGGCTCACACCTGTAATCCCAGCACTTTGGGAGGCAGAGTGGGGTGGATCACCTGAGGCTGGGAGTTTGAGACCAGCCTGACCAACATGAAGAAACTCTGTCTCTACTAAAAATACAAAATTAGCCAGGCATGGTGGTGCATGCCTGTAGTCCCAGCTACTTGAGAGGCTGAGGCAGGAGAATCGCTTGAATCCAGAAGGCAGAGGAAAGCTGAGATCGCTCCATTACACTCCAGCCTGAGCAACAAGAGCAACACTCCATCTCAAAAAAGAAAAAAGGAGGCCGGGCGCCATGGCTCGCGCCTATAATCCCAGCACTTTGGGAGGCCGAGGCGGGTGGATCACGAGGTCAAGAGATCGAGACCATCCTGGTCAACATGGTGAAACCCCGTCTCTACTAAAAATACAAAAAATTAGCTGGGCATGGTGGTGCACACCTGTAGTCCCAGCTACTCAGGAGGCTGAGGCAGGAGAATTGCCTGAACCCAGGAGCGGAGGTTGTGGTGAGCTGAGATCGCACCATTGCACTCCAGCCTGGGTAACGAGCGAAACTCCGTCTCAAAAAAAAAAAAAAAAAGAATTAGTATAAAATAAGCTTCTAAAATTTTCTAGAATCTTTATTTACTCTACTTTTTCTTCTGTACTTTTTTTGGCATCATAAATAAATAATTGCAACCAAGAACATATGTATACCAATTATACCAAACTCTTATTCTTTCTGCAGATTTTGTAGCCCTTTTATTTATGTCTTTGAACAAAAGATAATATAGTCTTGCAAGCTTCTTAAGCTGCCTAAAAAAGGACCATTTTTTGTTTATTTTTTATTTCCAAGTCATTGCCAACCAAAACATTTAGTAAAATTCAATAAAATCATCATGGTAATTACACATTGCTATCAGTGATTCTAAATGCTAATTCTCACTGTCTGTATTTATAACACCACTGATGGGTAGCAAATTGTGGGGCACACTAGAATTACTGGGGTTTTTTTTGTTTTTGTTTCTGTTTTGAGACGGAGGCTTGCTGTGTCACCTAGGCTGGAGTGCAGTGGTGTGATCTTGGCTCACTGCAACCTCCTCTGCCTAGGTTCAAGAGATTCTCCTGCCTCAGTCTCCCAGGTAGCTGGGATTACAGGTGCCTGCCACCACCCCTGGCTAATTTTTGTATTTTTAGTAGAAACAGGGTTTCACCATGTTGACCACCCTGGTCTCGAACTCCTAACCTCAAGTGATCCGCCGTTTTGGCCTCCCAAAGTGCTAGGATTATAGCACTTCTCTAGAACCCTAATACTTTGTGTTCCAATAAAAGTAACTCTATTTATGCAATGTGTGTGTGTGTGTGTTTTAACAGGTATGCATCTTCTATTGATGATATATTGGAAGATGAAGAACATTATGCAGATCAGTTGAAAGAGTATCTCTTTTATGCAGAAGCATTGCGGTAAGTTTAATAAAAGTTCCAGGCACAGCCAGGGGGTTGTTCACCACTCTCCTCCTATGCCACTGTAAAGTTCAGATAATAAAGTGTTTTTTTAGATGAATGCATTCCCTCAGATAATGAATGAGGTCTTACTGTATTTCTCTGTGTTGCAGAGTGCTAGGCATAAACATGTAAGATGAGTCCTGCCCTTGAGACATCATTTTGATAAAACCTGCCAGTCCCAGGCATCAAGTCTGTCTGTATGTTGTTGTTTCCACTTTTTCCAGTTTGAAGATTGGAAGCAAAATACAGATTGAGTGTGTGTAACAGTATCTGTTACTAGGTTGTATATTGCTATTTTTATTCTGTAATTTTTTTCCACATCTGTGTGTCTTAGTATGTTGTATAACTTATGTAACAAGGACTGTGTTATCTGTTCTGTGTTACCTGTTTTAGATAGTCCTATTTGATTAGGAAAAATTTAATGTATTTTTTCTAATCAAGTTAGAAAAATGAATTATTTTCCCAGAATAGGTGGCTTTTGGTCAGTTTTCCTGTTACTTTTTGTTTTTTGAAGACACGGAGTTTGGCTGTGTTGCCCAGGCTGGAGTGCAGTGGCGTGATCTGAGCTCACTGCAGCCTCCGCCTCCTAGGTGCAAGCGATTCTCCTGCCTCAGCCTCCCGAGTAGCTGGGATTACAGGCGCCCACCAACAATGCCCAGCTAATTTTTGTATTTTTAGTAGGGACAGGGTTTCACCGTGTTGGCCAGGCTGGTCTCAAACTCCTAGTCTCAGGTGATCTGCCTGCTTTAGCCTTTAAAGTGCTGAGATTATAGGCATCACCATTGTCCTGTCATTTTTAAAAGCAGGATAAGAATTATGTTAGGAAAACAGCACTATTACCTGTATGGTGACTGGTGCGAAATCATCTGCACATTGTTAGCTTGTTTTCCTTCTAGGGTTTTGAGTAGCAGGAAGTTTCATTAATGTATTTTCAAGTCACCAAGCAAAAGAAAGTTGGCTGGGTGTGGTGGCTTATACCTGTAATCCCAGCACTTTGGGAGGCCAGGGCAGGCGGATCACCTGAGGTCGGGAGTTTGAGACCAGTCTGGCCAACATGGTGAAACCCCATCTCTACTAAAAATACAAAGCTTAGCTGGGCATGGTGGTGCACGCCTGTATTCCCACTACTGGGGAGGTTGAGGCAGAATCACTTGAACCTGGGAGGCGGAGGTTGCAATGAGCCAAGATTGCACCACTGCACTCCAGCTTGGGCAAAATAGAGTAAGATTCCATCTCAGAAAAAAAAGAAAGAAAGCAAGTTGCTGAGTACAGTGGAATTATCTGTAGCTCTTAAAAATTATAGAAAGGGCTGGGCACAGTGGCTCACGCCTGTAATCCCAGCACTTTGGGAGGCTGAGGCGGGTGGATCACCTGAGGTCCGGCATTCCAGACCAGCCTGACCAACATGGAAAATCCCCGTCTTTACTAAAAATACAAAATTAGCCGGCGTGGTGGCACATGCCTGTAATCCCAAGCTACTCTGGAGACTGAGGCAGGAGAATCGCTTGAACCCGGGAGGCAGAGGTTGTAGTGAGCCGAGATTGTGCCATTGCACTCCAACTTGGGTAGTAAGAGTGAAACTCTATCTCAAAAAAAAAAAATTATAAAAAGGATTAATGTATATTGATGTGGAAAGATGGCCAGGGCATAAAGCCATGTGATAAAAGATATAGGAACCATTTGGGGTACATGGATATGGTATTTGCAAATGTCTGGCTAAATTCTGGAAGGCTATATACTATTTGATAACACACATTATGTCTGGATAGTGGGATTGGAGGAAAGAGAGTGTTCTCGAACTTTCATTTTTTATTTTTTGGGGACTGAGTCTCACTCTGTCGTCCAGGCTGGAGTGCAATGGCACAATCTCGGCTCACTGCAACCTCTGCCTTCTGGGTTCAAGTGATTCTTCTGCCTCAGCCTCCCAAGTAGCTGAAATTATAGGCAGGCACCACCACGCCTGGCTAATTTTTATATTTTTAGTAGAAATGGGTTTCACCATGTTGTCCAGGCTGGTCTCAAACTCTTGACCTCAGGTTATCCACTGACCTCAGGTGCTCCACCCACCTCAGCCTCCCAAAGTGCTGGGATTACAGGCATGAGCCACCATGCCCAGTCTCTTTATTTTGTGCATTGCTGTATTAGAATCTTTACTTTTTACGAACATGGATTACTTTTATGATGATAAAAACTAATAGACTCCTCTAGGCTGGGCTCCATGGCTCACACACATATAATCCTGGCACTTTGGGAAACTGAGGTGGATGGATTGCTTGAACACATGAGCTTGAGACTAGCCTGAGCAACATGAGCAAGACCCAGGCTCTCCAAAGCACAAATTAGCTGGTCATGGTGGCATACGCCTTAGTCCCAGCTACTTGAGCCCAGGAGGCAGAGGTTATAGTAAGCTGAGATTGCACCACTGCATTGCAGTCTAGGTGACAGAGTGAGACCTTGTCTCAAAAAAAAAAAAAGGATATATAAAGTTTTTATGGTTAGGTTCTGCTAGATTCCGTTTTTAATGTTGGGCTGCTACATTTTAAACTTGAAAATTGTCGGCACACATGTTCTGCCCTAGTAAGACATTGTGAATGGCTCTCCTTTACCCCTGAAAAAATGTTTGACATGTTAAAAGAAAGAAAAGGTTAAACGGCAGCACATTTTTTTCATTTGTAGGGCTGTGTGCAGGAAACATGAACTTATGCAGTATGACTTGGAAATAGCTGCTCAGGACTTAGCATCCAAGAAGCAGCAGTGTGAGGAACTGGCAACTGGGGTAAGTACTCTTTTTTTTCAGCCTGTAGTATTGTTGTAGCAACATGGAATTTTCCTCACAAGCACTCACTCTGAGTGAGTGACTCATTCCTGTGGAATCAGCTCCAGGTACAATACTCAGGATGGCTGTACCTTTTACAGGGGAATAATTTGTGAGTAACTTTATAAATTCTTTTATTATCTTGACACAAAAAGATGTAAGGCATTAAAACCATGTACTGTATAGAATTACAAGAAATTTTGCCAACATTGCTCTGGTGTAATCAGTATTATCCCAATTCTTTAAAAAAAAAAATTTATTGGGCTGGGTGCCGTGGCTCATACCTGTAATCCCAGCACTTTGGGAGGCTGAGGATGGAGGATCACCTTAGATCTGGAGTTCGAGACTAGCCTGACCAACATGGTAAAACCCCATCTCTTAAAAATACAAAAATTAGCTGGATATGGTGGTACACACCTGTAGTCCCAGCTACTCAGGAAGCTGAGGCAAGAGAATCACTTGAACCAGGGAGGTGGAGGTTGCAGTGAACCGAGGTCATGCCATTGCACTCCAGCCTGGGTTACAGAATGAGACTCCATCTCAAAAATAATTGTTTTTATTTATTTTTATTTTTTGAGACAAGGTCTGGCTCTGTTGCCCAGGCTGGAGCTCAGTGGTGTTATCAGGGCTCACAGCATCCTCAAACCTCTAGGGTCAGGCGATCCTCCTGCCTCAGTCTCCTGAGTAGCTAAGACCACAGGCATGCCCCCATGCCTAGCTAATTTTGTTTATAGTTTTGTAGAGACTAGTCTCATCATGTTGACCAGGGTGGTCTCAAACTCCTGGGCTCAAGTAATCCTCCTGCCTCAGCCTCCCAGAGTGCTACAGGGTAGGCCACCATGCCTAGCCTTTCAGTTTCTAAATCCAAGTGAAAAAACATGCAATGACCTTTATCAGGTTTAACATTTGCAAGGTACTTTGTAGAAATTTTAGTCAACTTTGAAAAGCCATACCCTCTTAGAACTAGTGCATCTTGCCTAACAAGGAGCTTTTGATGTACTTTATTCTCTAATGCTTACAGTGAGTTCTTGTGAGGAAAATTCTGAATCTGATTGCATTAGTCTTAGATCATTTTTATGATCAGCTTTCTACTCTCCAGCTATTTCATTGCAATAAATTAGCTATCATGGTGAGCAACATATTCTGAAAGTAGTAAACCATGTCTCTGCTTAGCAGTCTCTTGATAGTTAACAAGCACTGTAGTTTTAAAAGTGCTTTTTACATAGATTACCCACTTGTTACATCTGTGAAAAGTCATAGATATATGTGGGGAAAGACTTGTGACCAGAAACATGTATAAACTAGGCCCTTGGTTTATTTTTAAAACCGTGGAGAAGTTCCCAGGCCATTTTCAGGGAGCTCGGTTCTCTACTCCTACATGTCAAGGGAAAAATGTTCTCTTCAGTCAACTCCAGAGAGTGAGGAAATGTTAAAGCAGTGAAACTGGAGGCTGCCTTGCCATGTTTGGATGTAGGCATCCTGTTTTATTAATAGATGCTCACGTTTGACTGTGAGTTATGCAGATTTTAAATATGCTTCTTTAGTTTGGTTTATTTCCATAGTTGCCTAGTAAATTTATCTACTTTTTTATAACATAAAGTAATTTTTAAAAATATGATCATTCATACAGAGTAAAAAATAACTTGTCTAATATTTCATGTGGAAGTTTTACATTTGATTGGGAAATTCAAGCCGGTGTAGTTTATGCCGGTAATCCCAGCACTTTTAGCAGCGGAGGCATGAGCCCAGGAAGTTGAGACCAGTGTGGATTAATATAGCTAGACCCTGTCTCCACCAAAAATTTAAAAATTAGCTGGGTGTGGTGGCATGCACGTATGGCCCAGCCACTTGTGAGGCAGAGGTAGGAGGATCACTTGACCCCAAGAGGTTGAGGCTGCAGTGAGCCGTAATTGTGCCACTACACCACAGCCTGGGCAACAGAGCAAGACCCCATCTCAAAAAAAAGTTCAGTTAGAAGTTCCTCCTTTTTGACTACTCCATATTATTTCAGTATTAGAAATTCTATTAAGATTCTTGGCTATGATGCTGTAAAAATAAATTAAAAAATCATGAGAGTCTCCTGGTGGTGAAGTTTATGGTGGTTTTGTCTGACCTAGGGGAAATATGGCAAATGTTTTTATTTTCTTTGTGTGTGTGTGTATGTGTAGTGAAATATCTGTAACATAAAATTTACCATCTTGTCCATTTTTAAGTGTAGAGCTCAGTAGCACAGTCGTTCCTCCGTATCCTTAGTGAGATTGGTTTAAGGATCCCTTGGATACTGAAATCCTCAGATGCTTAAGTCCCTTATATAAAATGGTGTAGTATTTGCATATAACCTGTGCATATCCTTTTGTATACTTTAAATCTGCAGTCGCCAATATTTTTGGCACTAGGGACCTGTTTTGTGGAAGACAGTTTTTCCATGGACCAGGGCAGGGGATGCCGGGGATGGTTTCAGGATGAAATTGTTTCATCTCAGATTATCAGCCTTTAGATTCTCACAAGGAACACACAATCTGGATTCCTCACATGCACAGTTCACAATAGGGCTTATGCTCCTATGAGAATCTAATGCCTCTTGCTGATCTGACAGGAGGTGGAAATCAGGTGGTAATGATCTCCAGCTATGCAGCCTGGTTCCAAACAGGCCATGGACTGGTATCAGTACATAGCTCTGGGGTTGGGGAACCCCTGCTTTAAATTATCTCTGGATTATTAATACCTAATACAATGTAGGTATTGGTGTCTCATATATATGAGTGGAATCATACAGTATTTGTGTGTATGCTAAGTATTTCACTTAGCATAATGTCTTCAAGGTTTATCCATGTTGTAGCATATAAGAGAATTTCATTCTTTTAAAGACTGAATAATGTTCCATTGTATGTGTATACCACGTTTTATTTATCCATTCATCTGTTTCTTATTTCCTTTTAGACTGTGAGAACATTCTCTTTGAAGGGAATGACTACCAAGCTCTTTGGTCAAGAAACTCCAGAGCAGAGAGAAGCCAGGATAAAGGTGCTAGAAGAACAAATAAATGAAGGAGAACAACAGCTAAAGTCTAAAAATCTGGAAGGCAGGTAAAGTTGCTGAGATGTTAAAGTAAACTAGACTTGTAGACTATATGGCGGATTATTTTTAACAATTCCCAGCCTCATTGGCATCCCTGAATACAGCCTGTCCTTTAAAATGCAGTGCTTGCATTCCTAAGAAATTTGAGTTATCAGGCTGGGTGTAGTGGCTCACACCTGTAATCCTGGCACTTTAGGAGGCTGAGGTGGGAGGATTGCTTGGGCCTAGGAGTTTGAGACCAGCTTGGGCAGCATAGGAAGACCCTGTCTCTATTTATATGTATGTGTGTATGTATGTACGTACATATGTATAAATAAATAAGAAATCTGAGTTATCAAAAATCATGTTATAGAAACAGTTGTTTCAGTGTGGGAGACAGAGAAATAAAGGACTTTCAGCTTCATAATATTATTTTCTTGTACTTTTCCTGATTGCTACCCTTTGTACTTTCCCTCTGCCCCTTTGTTCTCTTCCTGCCCCTCCTTTAGTACCCAGCCGAAATGTTATTTCATTGTGAAGCCTTCTCAGGACCTCACAATATTTAATTCATGCCACTTTGCTATGGCAATTTTGTATCAGATGATTGATTATTCTGTGTGACTATCTCTGGGTAAATTATAAGCCCTTGAAAGTCAGTGATTTTATTTTTTCTTCACATTCATGTCCCGATGCCTTGCATAGGCATGTAATTGTTATGTAAGTATTTCTAGAAATTTCAGAGACCCACTATCACTATTTGATTCATTCTCCTTATTGTTGTTTTTAACTGACAGTCAGTGAATAGACCAAGGCAGACCAAGAGTGTATTATGGGTTTTGAGGGAGTTTTGTTATTTTTTAGAAATACTGGCACCAAATATGGGAAAGTCATGGGTAGAACTAAAAAGATAGGCCAGGCATAGTGGTTCACACCTGTAATCCCAGCACTTTGGGAGGCCAAGGTGGGCAGATCACAAAGTCAGGAGATAGACTATCCTGGCTAACACAGTGAAACCCCATCTCTACTAAAAATATACAAAAAATAATTAGTCAGGCCTGGTGGCATGTGCCTGTAATCCCAGCTATTTGGGAGGCCGAGGCAGGAGAATCTCTTGAACCCGGGAGGCAGAGGTTGCAGTGATCCAAGATCATGCCACTGCACTCCAGCCTGGACGACAGAGTGAGACTCCACCTCGGTGTGGGGAGAGGGGTGAAGAACAAATGCCTCTCAGGTTTTTTATTTTTATTATTTATGTATTTAATTTTTTTGAGACAGGGTCTCACCTTGCCATCCAGGTCAAAGTGCAGTGGTGCCATCGTTGCTTGGCTCAAGTGATCCTCCCACCTCAGCCTCTCAAATAGCTGGGACTACTGGCTACTGTGCCTGGCTAAAAATTTTTTTTAAACTTTGGTTGTCATTTAAAACAAGTACATGCTAAATGTGATTCATAATCCTTCTTGTCAAAAGAGTGTCCATTTTCCAGTGACCCCACTTACTTCATTGCGACTGACACCTGTTAGGCTTGTGAGCTGGCTTGAGAGTCATCTATGTGTATTTTATAGGCATAATTTGAAGGTAGAATTCTTGTGGCAAAAAAATGTGGATTATTAGGCCAGGTGCAGTGGCTCATGCCTATAATCGCAGCAGTTTGGGAGGCTGAGGTGGGCGGATCACCTGAGGTTAGGATTTTGAGAGCAGCCTGGCTAACATGGTGAAACCCCTTCTCTACTAAAAATATAAAAATTAGTCAGGTGTAGTGGTGCACACCTGTAATCCCAGCTACTCAGGAGGCTGAGGCAGAAGAATTACTCAAACCCAGGAGGTAGAGGCTGAGGTGAGCTAAGATCACACCACTACACTCCAGCAAGGGCAACAGAGTGAGACTCTGTCTCAAAAAAAGAAAAGGAAAGGAAATTGAAAAGTATAAGAATGTAAGACTTTCTTTTTGCTTTTTCCTTAACTATAATTTTTAGGAAAAGAAAAAACTGTCTTACACAAGCAATAGCTTTTCCTTCTACATAGGCGATTAAAAATGAACTCAAAAGGGAACTGGTTAGTTAAATTTATAATATACAGTTTATTTAATAATGACTATACCTTTTATTTCAGAGAATTTGTGAAAAATGCATGGGCTGATATTGAACGCTTCAAAGAACAAAAGAACCGAGACTTAAAGGAGGCCCTCATAAGCTATGCAGTTATGCAGATCAGCATGTGCAAAAAGGTAGGTTTTGGTTTCAATGAAGACATATGTATATTCAGAAGTACTTATAAATTTCTTTAAATTACCTTACTTAGACCAAAAAATTTTCATTTTTATTCTTCTCTTATAAAATGTTTATCAATTTCTCTATTTTAATTTTGTAGGATTTTTAATATTTAAAAAATAGCGATGAGGGTCTCATCATGTTGCCCAGGCTGGTCTCGAACTCCTGGCCTCATACAGTCCTCCTGCCTTGTCTTCCCAAAGTGCTGTGATTACAGGTGTGAGCTGCCACACCCAGCCTCCACTTAATTTTGAAAGAAGTGTTACAACCAATATGTCCATTACTGAGTCTCCACTCATCTAAAGTCCAAATTTGTATCTCCCATTTATAACTTGTATTTGAAAATATATCTAAGATTATTTTGATGATATGGTTTCTTGGACCAGACAATAAAATACCATTCCAAATATATGCTTTGACTGGAAAATAGCTTGACATTATTTAGTGAACATGTGTTAATGATATGCTTCCTCATGAAGTAAACCATAGAGGAATATATAAACACTGGAGCTCATTCTAGTTAAAATACGTGTTTGACAGTGATGGAAGTCTTTCTAAAATGCTGGTTTATGAACAAAGTAGGAAACATTCCTTAACCTCTTTTTTTATAACCTAAGATCTGCCAGTGTGACTACCAGTACCAGTGCTTTGATTTGTGTTATCATCTGTGCTGTGTCATAATCTATCAAGCAGTTTTACATGCATTACCTCAGTAAATCACATGGCAAGTTGAATTCCCACATTTATGAAGACCTTCTTAAAGGGCAGAATCACACTTGTATAAACATATATACAATTCTTATGCTTTAATTTGTCCCAAAATTTTATTTTTTGGCTAAGAACATCACTGAGAGAACAAAGATATTTTGAGGCATAAACACCATACCCACTCACTAGTTAAGTGGGCTCCATTTGGTTTGGACAAATTCATATTTATGCTTCAGTGCATTATAAGTTACTGTATACTGTGGAGTCACTTAAAACAAGTTTAGATCATGACTGGTGAGTCTGCAAGTGCTAAAGGATTGAGTATGCTATAGTTTGGTAGCATCTCTTTTTTTGCCTTCATTTTATCACCCTCTTACTTTTTGCCTGCAGCTGGGTGTTAGATATTTACAGTCCTTTTGCTTTTTCTTTTTGAAATGGGGTCTCACCATGTTGCCCAGGTTGGTCTTGAACTCCTAGGCTCAAGTAGTCCTCCTATCCTGGCCTTCAAAATTGCTGGGATTGTAGGCATGAGCCACCACACCCAGCCGTACAGTCCTTTTTCCAATCTAACTTTTTAACCTCAAGAAATCTGAAAGATCAGATAATGAAGGTTTTTAGTTTTTCCTATAAAAGACTCATTAATAAGCACCTTGTGATCTCTCATTCACTTCTTTCCAAAGTAAAATGCAAGGCCTTTATATGATGTCTCAAAGGTCTTTCCCCCTCCACTTTGTTTAGGCTGCATTGGCTGAGAGTGCTAGAAATTTAATCTCTGAATATAAAAGATACTACTGTATTTGGACATACTGTTGGATATTTTGTAGATTTATTCACAAATCCTAAGATAACTTGTAAAACAAGTTTAATAAGAGTATATGTCACCTTGCTTCCCGAGAATAGTACTATGCAGTTTCATCATTTTATTTTCTTGCCTAAGTGATACAGATTTTTATATGTGATCCTAGCTATTTGGGAGGTTGATCACTTGATCCCAGGAGTTCAAGACTTCTTTTTTATTTTTTTTTGAGACAAAAATCTGTCACCTAGGCAGGAGTACAATGGTGCAATCTCGGCTCACTGCAACCTCCACCTTCCAGGTTCAAGCAGTTCTCCTGCCTCAGCCTCCCAAATAGCTAGGATTACAGTTGCACACCATCATGCCCGACTAACTTTTTTGTATCTAGAAGAGACAAGGTTTCACCATGTTGGCCAGGCTGGTCTCAAACTCCTGATCTCATGATCTGCCCGCTTCTGCCTCCCAAAGTGCTGGGATTACAGGCATGAGCCACCGTGCCCGTCCTGAGACCTTCTTTCAAAATGAAAAGAGAAGAAAAAGAAAATTGTTTAAAGCCTTAATAAATGACACACTTTAATACTTAAAGAAAAAGTTCCTTTTTCATAAATTGCAATTATTAGAGAATCTTATTTATTGAAAAAATACCTTATTTAAAAAAAACTTAAGTTTTACTGTTACATCTCTATAAACATGTTATTTTTGTTTATGCATATTAGGCCATCTATAGCTTTGTGCTAAGTAACTTCAAGTATTAAGAGGTATTCAATAATTTAGTACATAATTAGTTTTTATCAACATTTTAGTTATTAGAGTAATAATATAATAGCTCAATTTATATTTGTTAGACTGAAAAAGTTTTTTGTTTCAAATAGTTCATTGAAAAAGCCAGGCTGGACACTGGCTCACACCTGTAATCCCAGCACTTTGGGAGGCAGAGGCAGGTGGATTGCTTGAGCCCAGGAATTCCAGACCAGCCTGGGCAACATAGTGAGATCCCATTTAAAAAAAAAAATACAAAAAATAAGTCAGATGTGGTGGCTTGCACCTGTGGTCCTAACTACTTGGCAGGCTGAGGTGGGAGGATCCCTTTAGCCCTGGAGGTTGAAGCTGCAAAGAGCAGTGATTGTACTCCAGCATAGGCAACAGAGTAAGACCCTATCTCCAAAAAAAAAAAGAAAATAAGCAAAAATGACTGAAAACTTGTTTGATTTACAAATGAAAATTACCTGAGTATGTGATATGAAATGAATTAACTCAGTTTTTCAACAAGTTGTAGGAGTTCTTTCTCCATTTTGAAGAAAAGCTCCTATTAGAGATTCTCGTTCTCTTTTCGGAAGCATTAGACACTTGCTTATGTTCGCCATTTCCCACAATAGTGTCCTATTTGCTCAACTTGTTAATTATTCCAAAAAGCAACACTTAGTGTATCACTAAGCCAAGTACTTGGGTTTTCAGATTCCTTCCAAACGCACATTTTAAAGTTTTTATTTTTATTTTTAGGGAATTCAAGTTTGGACCAATGCTAAGGAATGTTTTAGCAAGATGTAATCCTGTGGAATGAATTTCTCTCCAGTCAAAGTGCCCCAAAACAGAAGCACAAGTAAATAAAAGAATTTAAGTCACTACCTAGTATACATAAATATATACAGTAAGTTGAATAAATTCAGCTTTCTTTAACTTAATTGTAGTTGTGTTAATGTAGCACAAAAAAGATGTATTTTAATGGAGATTAAATATTATAATTTGAGGTTTTGGGGACTGGTGCTGATTCCAAAAAGTTAATTTAATAATATATACCAACAGATTGTTTGTCAGGCTTCTGAACCAATGACCGAATGTCAGAATGTTTGTTAATTTCTAGATGTTTGTTTCAAGGCCAACTGTTTCAGATCTATTAATGTAGGGAATTTTTCCCTAAGATTGAATTCCTATATTTACTTGGTAAGATCCACTTATCTCTCTTGCCTTATAGCTGAGCTATTTGGTTTGACAAAGCTCAGCAGAAACTTGATATGAAAAATCTGAGATTTTCTTTCACATTCATTGATGCCCCCTTGTAACATTTGCATACAATAGAAAATGCCTTCAATTTGTGTGTTACCAGAATTTTGATACTGGTCAGAAATTTTATACTGCCAACAAAGAAGACTCAACTTCTCAGATATATAGTGGAATACATTGTCATCTTCTAGCAATTGCTATATAGACAGTATAATTAAATTCTTTTCAAATTATTCTTAACCTCAGTAACGAGCCTAAATTTACTCTGCTTGGCTCTCTACACATGGCATTTCAGGGTACAAGATGTAGCATTTCAATGTGTAAGGTATATGTACTAAACGTGTTTTGCTGTCTTCATCATTAACATTCTTCTTTTCTATTGCTTGGCTGTAATTTTTGTAAAGATAAATTATATTGTTTTTTTATATGTGTGTTTGTGGTATATGTTCAGAAGACAAGCATCTTCATTTTGCTAGCTTTGCAGAATCTTAAAATGTATACTTGTTATTTCTAATGAAGTAAACAAAAAAATCCCCAGTCCTGTTTAGCATTTGACTTTTTTATATGTTTTAAATGTTGCTGGATTTTTGTGCTGTTCGCCAAACTTATACAATAAATAAATGAAATATTGTGCTGATTTTCAGATGATTTCTGTTAATAGGGTGATCCATACATATTAATATCTGATGCTCTGTAAGAAAATGATATCTGTCATACTGGGTTTTAAACTGATTAATGCCATGTTCTCACTTATCAGTGAGCGCTAAACAGACATTGAGTACACATGAACACAAGGAAGGGAACAACAGACACCAGGGCTTACTTGAGGGGGCCGGGTGGGAGGAAGGTGAGGGTCAAAAAACTTGCTGTTGGGTACTATGCTTGCTCCTGGGGTGTTAAAATCATTTGTACACAAATCACCAGCAACACATAATTTACCCATGTAGCAAACCTACACAGGTATCTCCTAACCTAAAACAAAAGTTGAGGAAAGAAAAAAAAAGTCATTAACGGTATAAATTTGTCATTGTCATTTACCAAAATACTAGTTTTTTTTGTTTTGTTTTGTTTTGCAGAGACAAGTAAACATTTATTTTTGTACCTTTCCTCCTATGTGTATTTCAAGTCTTTCTCACAAGGCCCCAGGAATCACCAGATTCACTTATGTCCCTGGACTTGTCCACTACTGCAGGAGTCTTAGGGAGCCTTGTACAAATGCTAGAATTACTCAACTACCAACATTAAACCCTAGGATAAGAGATGCAGCAAAGCAGGACTCCTTCCTCCATGGAATGTGCTGATTTCAGATGAGGCAGCAGCCAATACGCTGGAATTTTTCCTTGGAACTGAATTGTGATGAGAGATACTTGCCATGAACATAGCTACTGTTTTTTTCTTTTCTTTTTTCTTTTGAGACAGAGTTTCGCTCGTTGCCTAGGCTAGAGTGCAATGGTGCAATCTTGGCTCACCGCAACCTCTGCCTCCCAGGTTCAAGCGATTCTCCTGCCTCAGTCTCCTGAGTAGCTGAGATTACAGGCATGGGCCACCATGACCCGCTAATTTTTCTATTTTCACTAGAGACAGGGTTTCGCCATGTTGGTCAGGCTGGTCTTGAACCCCCAACTTTAGGTGATCCGCCCTCCTCAGCCTCCCAAAGTACTGGGATTACAGGCATGAGCCACTGCGCCCGGCCAGCTACTGTCTTTTCTTTGATACTTCCTTTCCAGTTTTTAAAGATAAAGCAGGAAATAACCTTCTCTGAAGATACTTGATACAAATTCTCCAAACCCAAAAACACATGCTTCCACTTCATTGATAAAAATTTATTGCAGTTTGGCACCTGGTGCTAATTCAGCTGGCGGATGAGCTGATTGATGCGCTCACCCCGATAGCCAGGTGTGCCCATCTCCTTGAGGAAGCCCACTCTATTTTTGGTAGCATGACGGGCCACGGAGAGGTGGAAAGGGCGCAAGAACCATGAGATCTCCTGGAAATGCTTCCCCGGAAAGGCAATTTCATGAATGAGGTCTTCCAAGCAAATGACACCAAACTTCCCCAAGTGCTCCTCAATCACAGTGTTGTCTGTCAGAGGGATGGTCTTATTCTTGACCCTGGCTTGTCCACGTTTCAAAATGAGTTCCCGGACAGACTTCAGATTTGGAAATCCCCAGGTCACATAAGGTTCCACTATATTTTTTAGGTTCTGGGGAGTGACTTTTACGAAGACACCACTAAAAATTTTCTTTAGGCGAAGTCTTGCAATGGTTCTCTGCAGCAGTAAACTCACACCATCAATCCTTTCAATGCGTACGACAAAGGCCAAAGAATGTTTATCTGGCAATTCCAAGGCATGAGGCTTCACTTCTAGTCGTCTGACACGCACCTTGTCACGGGTCTGCCGCCAGGAATCATGTAGGAATGATTCCAATCGCTTAAACCTGGGCCCTTTTCCTTTCCTCTGCTCCTTCTTTGCCAAAAGTACCTGCTTTGCCTGAGTGGCTTTGAGGTCTTGATAAGCCTCCTCTTTTTCAGGAGATTTTCTGGAACCAAAGGGATTTTTCTTTGCTCTTGCTCCGCCATCTTTCCGGTGTAGCAGCTACTCTAGTTTTTTTAAAAATATAAGATGCTGAAATGAGATATGATTTTTAACAATTTACTCTGTTTGTATTTGTGTGTGTGTGTATGTATATGTGTGTGTTTTAATGTCAGGTGGGTAATGGTTGAATTGTAACAAGCTTTGAGGGAAGCACATCTCACACACATGTGTGAACACCCAATCATCATGTTTATGAACCCAGCCATCATGTTTACGAACCACAAAAGGATCATGGAATTTTTTGTTTTTGTTTGTTTTACTTAAAAAAAAAAAAATAGAGACAGAGTCTCACTGTGTTGCCCAGGGTGGTCTGAACTCCTGAGCTCGAGGAATCCTCCCACTTCAGCCTCTCAAAGTGTTGGGATTACAGGCGTGAGCCACCCAGACCCAGCCTGTGTTTTTTGAGACGGGGTTTCACTCTGTCACCCAGTATGGTGGCATAATTATCGCTCACTGCAGCCTCAACCTCTGGGGGCTCAAGTGATCCTACCTTAGCCTCCCAAGTAGCTGGGACTACAGATGTACACCACCATGCCTGGCTAATTTATTTTATTCTTGTAAAGATGCAGTTTCACTGTGTTGCTGTGATACCCCAATTGAAAAAATTAAAAAAAAAAAAAAAGATGAAGTCTCACTGTGTTGCCCAGGCTGGTCTCGAACTCCTGGGCTCAAGCGATTCTTCCTGCTTGGCTCCCTAAGTGTACCAAGCCACATCAGGGTTTTATAAAAGTTAAAACTGGTAGAAGCAAAAGTCATCTGTGTAGGTAGGTACACATTTCATTCCACTGAATTGTATCATCTCTTGACTGAGATAAGATACGTTTTCCCTTAGCATTTAAAGATCAAAAGCCTTTTCCCCAAACTAGCTTTGGACTCAGTGTAAAATGTTAGACTTTTTTCTGCTAGCAGACTTAATTTGAGAAGGCCATTATTAACTTTGTTTCAAAAATGATTTAACCTCAGTGGCTCATGCCTGTAATCCCAGCACTTTGAGGTGGTTCGACTGCTTGAGCCCAGTTCAGGACCAGCCTGGGCAACATGGTGAAACCCCATCTCTACAAAAAATACAAAAATTAGCTGAGTGTGGTGGTGCACACCTATGTAATCCCTACCCAGCTACTTAGAAGGTTTAGGTGGGAGGATCACTTGAACCCGGGAGCTCGAGGGTACAGTGTGTCATGATCACACCACTGCACTCCAGCCCAGGTGACATAGCGAGATCCTATCCTATCTCAAAAAGAAAACAAAAATTTTTTTTAAGAAAACTAGACTGGGCGCAGTGGCTTATGCCTGTAATCCCAGCACTTTGGGAGGCTCAGGCAATTTAAGGCCAACATAAGAGTTCAAGAACAGCCTGGGCAACATGGCAAGACTCTGTATACAATTAAAATAAGAAAAAAAAAATCTTATTTTCTCTAAAATATACAAACATACATTTGGTTATATGTATATTTAGGAATATCTTGACTGGGGTTCCTTTTGAAAATTGTTTCATGTTACAGCACAATTATTCCTTTTAAAAAAAGTTATGATGGAATTTTTTGCACTATCCAGAATAAGTATAAAGAAAATACCTTTAATAACCCTTTTCAGTATTTAAAAATCAGAAATTAAAATGAATTATTAAAAAGATGGGGGAATTAGTTCCCCAAAGGTAATAGAAGCAATGACTGAAGAAAAGTGATTAATGTAATTAGAAGCGAAAGAAGATTGCATCTTGACAGTGAATTAGTGATGCAGTTGGTATGGTATAGTTAAAGCACTAAATTAACTAGAGTCATTCTTAACCTTCACTTGTATCCAAAAACATGACTACAGATGAATGAGTCACTGGTAATTAAAACAGCATTCAAAAAGGAACTAACGGTTCCTAAAATTAAAGTATCTTTAGAATAAACACAGCTCGGAATGGAATGAAAAAGAGCAGTAACAGGAATATTAGGTTTTTGTATCCTTACAATGATTCTCTAGATTTCACGTGTACTCCCACCCACCATGGGTAGTACTTCCTGATTCTCTAAAAATAAAGTTTTCTCTAAAAAAAGAATTAGAAATATATTTCAAGATTAAGTAACCCAGAGAAATAAAATAATAAAAGGCTAAATTAGTAGATTGTACTTGCTGCCCCAGTGATATATATATTTAATAGCTTTAAATATCTATATACTGGAAAGAAGGTAGCTAGAGGAAAAGCAAAGTAAGAAGAAAGGAAATATTAAAGATAGAAGCAAAATCGATGACATTGAAAACAGATGAACAATAAATTTAACAAAGCCACAGTTGGTTCTTTGAGAAGATTAATAAACCCCTAGCAAAACCGTAAGAAAAAAAAGATAAAACACAAATTATCAGTAACGAAATAGGAAATGTTATTATAGGTCTTACAGACATTAAAAAATAATAAGGAAATATGAACAATTTTAAACCAATAGATGAAATCAACCAATTCCTTGAGAAATAGAACTTACTAAAATGTACATAAGGTAAGATAAAACAGAAAACCTGAGTAGCTCTATATAAAAGAAATTTGCAGTAAAAAAAAATCTTTCTACAGTCCCAGCTACTTGAGAGGTTGAGACAGAAGGATCACTTGAGCCCAGGATTTTGAGTTCAGCCTGAGCAACAAGGTCAGACCCCATCTCTTAAAAAAAAATCTTCAAAGAAAACTTTAGGTCCAGATCACTTTATTGGTGAGTTCTATTAAACATTTTAGAAAGAAAAAGCTGGCCAGGTGTGGTGGCTCACGCCTGTAATCCCAACACTTTGGGAGGCCAAGGCAGGTGGATCATGAGGTCAAGAGATTGAGACCATCCTGGCCAATATGGTGAATCCTCATCTCTACTAAAAATTAAAAAATTAGCTGGGTGTAGTGGCACTTGCCTATAGTCCCACTATAGGGAGGCTGAGACAGGAGAATTGCTTGAACCTGGGAGGCAGAGGTTGCAGTGAGCTGAGATCGTGCCACTGCATTCCAGCCTGGCAACAGAGTGAGACTCTGTCTCAAAAAAAAAAAAAAAAAAAAAAAAAAAAAAAA